AGACGTTGAAATTTGACCTTCATATAGTTTTCACTTTGTTAAACATTATTCTTCTTTTGACTTTTTTCAATCATTTAAAAACGTGAAAGCCATTCTTATTTCACAGACTATATAAAAATAGGCAGCAGGCTGGATTTGGCCCATGGGCTGTAGTTTGTCGACCCCTGATCTACTAGTCATTATTTTTCTTCTGCATATCACCCTCTGACTGCACCGTTTCCCTCTTTGTTGTGTCATTTTTTGAAGTCTTCCTGCCCTTTCTCTCAGCAAGCTGAGGCTCCAGTATCCTTTTGAGAATCTGTGCTTCTGACATTCATGTAGCTCATTAAGGAGAGTCAGAACACCCACCTAAAAGAACCGTTAGGGCAAAATCAGATAGCGTCCCTCTTCTCTTTTTTGTGTCCTGGCTAGTTTGACATATAAGTTGGGTATATGGAGGTTGCAGACTTTGTAACCCTGGCAAATGGCTCTGGTTTCTGCAGGGTTCTAAGGCTCTAATGAATAGAGCATGCAGCCTGAGTGATGGTGAGAGTCTGATTTTTAGATAATCGAGGATATTTATATCTTTAAATAGGTTGGTGCCTTGGAGTGCTGTTCCAGCATGAAATTGAGAGTCAGAGAGAGGTCTGGATAATCAGTTTGGTGTCATCTCTTAGAACAGTAATGTATCAGAAGGGCGTTCAGGCTCGGGATGGAAATGAGGAGTTATAAGCATATGTTGCTCTATCCTTGCTGTATTTAAAATGAAAACACGATACAGATTTTTATATGTGGATGTGTTTAAAGGGACATCATATGCCCTATGTCATAGGGAAACAGAACACAAGAGAACCTTCTCAGATCTGTGGCTGTAGCCCTGGTGTGTGGAGCTGCTCTTCAGACGAGCTCCCGGCAATTATTTAGGGCTGCGAAGCAGTGTGGGCGACAGAGGCTTGGCTGCCTGCGTAATGAGATCGGTTTGGTTGGTCTGACAGATGCAGTGATTTATGGGAGTGCTTGTTGGGAGGACACCTGCTGCTGAGAGCAGCCAGATGAACGGCATACATGTGGGAGGTGGAGGAGAGCAAGGGATAGGAGAGGGGTGGTTGTGTGTAAGGCAGGCAAGGATTGTCCTGATTACAGCTGTGAGAATTGTGGGCTAATATGGAGCTGTGGAATAGCGTGAAATGGAGACGCAGTGTAGGCTTGGGAATTGTACAGACCTGAGTTTGAATCCCTGGCTCTACCGCTTGTTAGCTGAGATCTTAGGTGAGTTGCTTCCCTTCTTTGAGCCTCCATTTCTTCACCTGTAAAATGGGGATAATAAACACCCTCCTTATTTCCCAGAACGTGAAATTGTACTGACATAGAAGTCCAAGTGGGGTTCCTGGTGCATGGGAGAGCTCAGTAAGTGGTAGACATTATCAGTGTTTGTCCGTGTGTCTATTCATTTGTTTATTCACCTGCATTGATTGTTCTTTGTAATTTCTAATAGAGCCTTGTTTTCAAATAGATGCCTAATGGTGACTTAGGCATCAAAAGCTCTTGTGATCAGGGTGTAAGTACATAACAGTCAACATGTGTTTATAGGTATATGTATGAACATCTAAACGGCTCATAGAAGTTTAGTAGATACGTGAAGTATGATTTAAAGAACAGCTGCCTGGCCAGTAAGCACAATAAAACATACTTCACCTTACTAATAATTGGGGGAAACTACAAATAAGACCAAGAGGAGATATTGTCTCATTCACCAGATTGGTAAAAATGTTAAAGTCTGACAATACCAAGTGTTAAGGAGAATGTAGAGTGACAGAGCTCATATGTACTGCTAGTGGGAGTTGAAGCTGATACAGCTACTTTGGAAAATGATGTGGTAATATCCAGAAATTTGAAGATGTGTGTATCCCATCTCCAAGCAGATTTCCATTCCTAGGCATAACCTAGAGAGATCTCTCACATGTACTCAAGCCAATGTGTTAATCACCATATTGTTTGTTATAGGAAATAATCTTAGTGTCCATCTATGGGGTAATGGATGCATACTTTAAGTGAGCTAAAGGTCTATGTGGTATCAGCATAGAAGAATTTTAAATAATGATGCGTGAAAAAAATAAAGTTGCAGACAGAAAGCCATTTATATATAGTTTGAAAGTGTGAAAAACAATATTAATGTATTGCCTATGGATACCTACATATGAAATAAAAGTTTAAAGAAATTATTTGGAACGATAAATATTAAATTCAAGATAGTATTAGGAGAAGAAAGAGATATGGTTGTAAAGGTTGCGTAGGGCCCAGATCCCAACTCTGCCCTTGACTTACCAGCTGTATACCCTTAGACAAATTGCTTAACCTCTGTGCCTCAGTTTTTTGATGTATAAAATGGAAAAATAATATTATCTACTTCATAGGTATGCTGTGAGGGTGAAATGAGTGAGCATAGGTAAAATGCTTAGAATAATACCTAGCAAAAAGCAAGTGCTATATAAGCGTTAGCAATTCAGGTTCTAATTACATGAGTATTTTTTTATTATTCTCTGTTTATTTTTTTAAATGTTAAACATTGCAGTTTTTTAAAATGTATAATAAATATTTCAGTATTCTAAAAGATAAAGACTATATGTAACATAACTACAGTATAATTAGTACACCTAAAATTAACAATAAATCCTTAACATCAAATGCCCAGTTAATTGTTCAAATTCCAATTGCCCATAAATGTCATTAACATTTTATAGTTTCTTTGGCTTAAGTTCCATGCATTATACTTTATTGATTTATCTTTTAAGACATTTTAATCTACAAATTCCTCCTCCAACTTTCCTTTTTCTGCAATTAATTTTTTAGCTTTATTGAGGTATAACTGGTATATAAAAATCACACACATTTAATGTATACATCTTGATGAGTTGAGACATATGCATATACTCATCATACTATCACCACAACGTCCAAAGAGTTTCTTGTGTTCCTTTGTGTGGCTTGTTTTTTTGTTTTTTTTCCTGGTTTTGTTTTGTAAGAACACTTAATGTGAGATCCATCTTCATTAGTTTGTTTGTTTTTAAATTTTCTCTCCAGACTTTCCACAAGCACATTTAACCATTGTCCACGTGCATGCATCTACCTGTCACTTAAAATAACTGATCTGGTTGAAACACAGATATGCACCCCCCTTGTCCTGAGGAAAGCACGGAAGGAAGCTTATTCAGCAACAGAGTCAAAGTCACAGAGGTTTGCTCTTGTAAGCTAAATAAGTTCCTGTGTTCTCCTGTACCTGAGATCCAGGGATCTATCCTCCTAACGTATTTTGAAGTATAGAACAAATACTGCAATTTTCTAAAAAGAAGAGATGTCATTCTTGCCCTTTGTCATCAAAGAGTTGATAAGTGAACAAAGATTAAAAAATATCATCAACATAGGAATTTCAGGTGTGGCATAATAATAGTACAGCTGCAGTCTGTTAACCCCTAAATGTAGTAGGTACTGTGCTTAAGATACACTCATTTTATGTTTCCCTATGAAGTAGGCACTATTTTTAATCCCTGTTTTACAGTCAGGAATCTTTCTTCCGGCCAGAACCCAGGTAAGAGTGACTCACGCTCTTGACTGCTAGTCTGTACAGCCTACCTGGCTGTTGTTTACATTAGCTTCCTCTACACAGATTCCTACTTCCTTCCTGTATCAATCTTTATAAACTAAGTTATGTTATGGTAATGAACAGTCCTAAAATGGGAATGGGGTAACTTCTAATAATAAAGGGTTATTCCTCATTCATGGTACATATTCATCAAGGGTCAGCTGAGAGCTCTGCCACAAGCTCTTTACTCTGGGAGCCAGGAGTCCTGGACAGAGTAGCCACAGTCTCAGACCTTGTGGGTTGCTATGGAGAGAGAGAGAGAATATATGGGATGAGAACTGTGGATAATCTCACCCTAACAGTTAAATGCTCCAGACTGAGAGAGACACACAACATTTCCACTCACATTATAAACGAGAGTGCTGGTTTTCAGACAGGGCTAATTTTGCCAACGTCTAGGGACATTTTGGCTGTCATAGCTGGAGAAGGGGGGAGGGATGCTACCTAGTCACCAGAGGTCAGGGATGCTGCTACACGCCCTACAATGCACAGCACAATCCACCTCCTCCCCCCGCCAGCCACCACAACACACATATAGCAAAGCAGTATTCGGCCCCAAGGTCAATAGTACCAAGGTTGAGAGGCTCTGGACTAGAGCCAGTCACAGAGAGCCAGAAAGTACAATTTTATGAAACTGTCAGGGAGGAGAACCTGTCATACTTGACAAATAACACCAGTGAGCACTATGCGTACTCAAGCTTAAAAGCTGTTATAAGGGCCCTTCAGAAAATACTTTCCCAGGATGGAAGTGAGCTATTACTTTGCGAGATAGCCATAGAAGGAGTCTTCTAACACAGTTAACTCCATCGAAGGCCAGAGGAGGCCCCTGGACTCACTTCTCAGCTGACCGCTGCTCTTCCTCAGCACTGCCTGAAAGGAGTATAATGCAGGCCACATATACAATTTAAAATTTTCTAGTCTCCACGTTAAAAAAGAACAGGTGAAATTAATTTAATAGTATAATCTATTTAATTCCATATATCCAAAATATTATCATTTTAAATGTAATCATTGTAAAAAAAAAAGTGTATGAGATATTTTACATTTTTTGCACTTTGACACTTCGATACTCACAGCACCGTCTCAATTCAGACTAACCACGTTTCCAGCGCTCAGTTGGCACATGTGGTTACAGTATTGGATATGCAGCTCTGGAGGTTTCTGTTCTGGAACTTAGTGAGGGGCTTTCCTTTGTCTCCTCTGAGGACCAGCAGACTGCTGTCAGTAACCCAGAGTCAGTAAGTTCTGGAAGCATGACATAACTTGCAGGAATATCTGTCCCAGACTCCCGAAGACGGTCTGCGTATGTTTCAGGAACAAAGAGGGATTGGTTTCCTGTGTAGTCTGTGCTATTACTTCTTTTTCTGATTTTCACTGGCAGGTGCCTCGTCTCCAGACATGGAGCCCAGCTATGGGGGAGGTCTCTTTGACATGGTGAAAGGAGGTGCAGGGAGGCTCTTTAGTAACCTAAAGGACAACTTGAAAGACACCCTCAAAGACACGTCTTCCAGAGTTATACAATCTGTTACCAGGTATGTGCGTCCTTCCCCATTAACTTAATGGACTCCGTGCCCCCAAAGGATCTGCTTACCTGCCAACTGCTTGTCTGGCTCAAAGACTATCAATTTTGTGATGCAACTGCATGGGATCTGATTGACTAGGAATGCCATTGAAGCCACAAAATTAAATCCTTCAGAAGCTACAGGCATAGGCTGGGAGGACTCGGCCCCTTGGTACGTTAGAGGATAGTGGTTGCCATCCCTGGCTTTCGAATCCAGCATCCTGAACTCTAATGCAGTATCTCCCCTTATTAACCTAAGGCAAATTAATTAACCTCTCTGAGCTTTGCTTTGATACCCTGGTAAGATTTATGTCTTTAGGTGGTTTGAGAATTAAATGAGACAGTAATGCACATGCAATCCAAATAAGCAATACTTATGGATTGTAATCAAAACAGAATTTTGTTTTCGTATCTTAATAGCCCTTTACAATTTATTTACTGGGAGAAGTTTCTACCCTTCTACTGTGTGAAACTTTTACAAGCAGGCCATATGAATTCTTTTTTTATTCTTAGGAATTAGAAAGTTCTAGGGTCACTTTAAGTTAAAATATGTGGTTTTAAATCAGAAATTCAAATGTGAAGTCCAACATATTAATCAACATTTTAATTTTTTTCAACAGTAATTGTATCCTTTACCTTCAATCCCCAACTAGCGCCTGGTAGGCAAAAAAAGAGGGTCCTTTGTTCTTTCTCCATCACTTCCTCCCCTACCCCCTAGCTGCATGCCCTGTTTGGAGTGGTAGGTGTGTGCTCCTGAGGGTGTGGGCTGTCTTCTATCAACAGTGCTTACTTGTTAGGGGGAAGGCCTGAAGGGAAGTCAGAATATAGCTACTGGATGGAAATGTCCCAGGTCATGATGTGCAAGTGATTGAGAGAGAGAAATCGTGGGACATTTGGATCATTTTAATGAGTGCCCTTTCCTTTCTTGCTTTTAGCTACACGAAGGGAGATTTAGACTTCACTTATGTTACCTCCAGAATTATTGGTAAGTTTCTCATGTTTATTAACTGCCCAATAGCTCAGCTTTCAATGGCTGCCCATCACGACAGCAGACCTGTTTAACCAATTTTTTTTCTGTGTGACCCTTCCTCCAGTGATGTCCTTTCCTCTGGACAGTGTTGACATAGGATTCAGAAATCAGGTTGATGACATTCGAAGCTTTTTGGATTCCAGACATCTTGACCACTACACGGTGTACAATCTGTCGCCCAAGTCTTATCGAACTGCCAAGTTTCATAGCAGGGTAAGGAATTTTAGCCCTGATCACAAGGTTGAAGACATAAGAGGGTATTTTCCCCCTTAAGAGCTATCCTCAAACCCTTTGCCTTTAGGCACATGGAGCTGAAAAACTATATACTCTGGACACTTCTCTATCCACAAAATTTTTATGAGGCTGTTATGAGATATTCTGAGGCTTTTCCTCGGGTGAGGATATTTGTAGGAAAGTTTCTCTGTCAATAAGATACCATCTAATTGAGGGCCTCAAATCAGCTGTGGCTGGTTGTTGCTCAGTTGTTAGGGCACATTGCTGTGTGGCTCAGTGGAGATTGACTGCTACATAGGGCAGTTGGAGACCCTTATGCTGGAGCACTAATGATGCCTTTCACCCTTCCTTATTGCTGCTTTGGCATCACGATGAGACAGTGTGGCTAAACCAGTAGAGACACACCAGTATTAATGGAAATAGCTTTCTGACATTTGGTAAAGGTATGTGTTTCATAAGTGAGGTGTAGCACATAAACAGCCCACACTGTAGGTTTGGTGATACTATTGCGAATATTTAGAGCAGTGAGAGCAGCAGCAGCATTTTTAGAGCATTTACAGTATTCCAGGAACTTTACATGCAATATCTCATTCATTCTCTCAACGGTCCTCTGAAGTAGATGGAGAAACTGAGGCACAGAGAGGTAAGGTAACTTGACCAAGACTACAGGCATGTGTCTTAGCCATTACTCAGGGCTGACAGTATTACCTGGAAACCTGGATTATCCTCTCAAGGAGCTTTTAGAACTAGGCAGAGAAATAGTTCTAGTTTCAGTCTAGTTAAGGAGCTGTGAGAGCTGGCTTTGGTTTGAATCTGATGTTAAGCCTGATATGTCTGGCCACTGAATTCTTGATTTACTCACTCAAATCAGGCTTTTTCTCTCTCAGGAACATTTTCAAAAATCTTGACTTAGCCTTTAGATATGATTGGTTCTTCAGCTACATCTGGATTTATTAATAAATAGAAAGGAGTTTTACACATTGGACCCTTTAAAGTGAAACTTGATTTCAGCTATGCCAAATGATAGCTGGTTGTGTGTACTGTGTATTGAGGATCTCAGCTTTGATGCCAGAACACATTTTGCTCCAAATTTTAGTTGCCATTAATAATCTCTGGGCATCAGTTTCCTGATCAGTAAAAACTAGAAGAGAGTCTGTATGCTGTCTTAGGCCACTTCCTGCCCTAATGTTCAGTAAGATAAGGGAGAATTTTGTGAAGGATTCTCTTTTCCCGGAGTGTTTTCAAAATAGGCAAGAGGTAACCCAGTGGTTCTCAAGCTTTAGTGTACATCAGAATGTCCTAGAGGGCTTGTTAAACACCTGGGCCTGGCACTTCTGGTTCAGCAGAGGGGTGTGGTGAGAATCTGCATTGCTAACAACTTCCTGGGTGCTACTTCTGTTGCCCTGTGAGCCACTCTCTGAGAAGCACTGATAAAACCATTCTAAAGTGGTTTCGTCCAAATTCCCATTCCATAACGGAGATTTCAAATGCAGCTCTCTAATATTCCCTGTAGTTAACTGCCCTTCCACCTCTTATTCCATCTATTACCTAATTCAGAGCAAGGGAATTAGCATCCAACAAAAATGTGGGTAGCTATTTTATTTATAATTCAGATGCAAATATTTTGAATTGATTTTTCTTGTTTGGAGACTCGGTGCCATCATTTTCTTTCTTTCTTTCTTTTTTCCGATTTGTTTTTTATTGAAGCATAGTTGATTTACAGTGCTGTGCCAATCTCTGCTCTACAGCAAAGCGACTCAGTGATACACATAGTGCCATCATTTTCGTAACTGAAGGACCATGGAACATCCTGTATAATATTTTATAGAAATTTTATTTAATCTTGAAATATTTGTGATAATCTGAAAAATTTTCCCTCTGGAAGTAAATAAAGATGTAATATCATTATAGAAGCATTCATGCATATAAAGGTATCTCTTATATGTATATATGATTTATAAAAGCAAGCTCTTTTATAAAGATATTTAAAGAAAGGCATCAATTAGTGTAACTACGTATTTTGTGACCAGACTTAACAGTCTTACCAAAGAAACCAGGAATTGCATATGGAACATCTGCCCCAGACTGCTCTCACTTGCCCTAGAAGAGCAGGGAACACGTTAATTTTATTTGCTACCTGGAACGGTGCCTGGCATGGCTAAGAAATGTCTCTCAAAAGATTGAATGTGCCTGCCAAGAATTGTTGAACACATAGATATCAAATAAAAATTTGATTCTTGGGACTTCTTTGGTGGCGCAGTGCTTAAGAATCCACCTGCCAGTGCAGGGGACACGGGTTTGATCCCTGGTCTGGGAAGATCCCACATGCCCTGGAACAACTAAGCCCGTGCATCGCAACCACTGAGGCTGCACTCTATAGCCCTCAAGCCACAACTACTGAGCCCGTGCACCACAGCTACAGAAGCCCGCGCCCCCTAGATCCCACGTGCCGCAACTACTGAGCCCACACGCCACCACTGCTGAAGCCCGTGTGCTGCATCTACTGAAGCCCGCATGCCTAGAGCCTATGCTCTGCAACAAGAGAAGCCACCACAATGAGAAACCTGCGCACCGCAACAAAGAGTAGCCCCTGCTCGCCACAACTAGAGAAAGCCCGTGCACGGCAACAAAGACCCAATGCAGCCAAAAATAAAATAATTAATTAACTAAAAAAAGTTTGATTCTTATTCTCAAGGCACTTAAGCCTAGTTGGAGAGAGAAGTCAGGACGTTCTAAAGACAATAATATTTACAGTACCTACTGAGGGAGTTTAGTAAAGGGAGACAGCAGTGAGAGCTGGACCTTGACGCATGAGTCTTGTCTAGGTGAAAGCGGTGGGGTTATTTCTTCTCCATGTGAACTGTAGTCTGTGTCTTACCAGGCTCCGCATGATCTGGCCTCTGTGCCTCTGTAGCTCATCTTTCACTGTTCTCCACTGCCTGAGAACCATGCTCCTACCGGGGAGACGCACCGTCTCTTCGCATGAGCTGCTCCCACTCCCTGAAAGGCCACACATGCCACACCCCCACCCCTTCTTTGTTTGCCAAATTTCGCTAAGGGGAGGATTTCCACATACCACAAGGCTTTTCCAATTCTTTCCCCTAAAATGCAGGATTGCACTGCACTTTTAGCCCTTTATAGATAGTCTCAGAACTCTGGGGACTGGAAGAGGACCCTCTGACCTAGCTCCCTTAACCCTCAGTTGCATCTTAGGACAGCCCCACAGCCTTAGTATTTTCATCTTAGCTCTGTTTTTTTTGTTTCTTTGGTGTGCGGTACACGGGCCTCTCACTGTTGTGGTCTCTCCCGTTGCAGAGCACAGGCTCCGGATGCGCAGGCTCAGTGGCCATGGCTCACGGGCCCAGCCGCTCCGCGGCATGTGGGATCTTCCCGGACCAGGGCACGAACCCGTGTCCCCTGCATCGGCAGGTGGACTCTCAACCACTGCGCCACCAGGGAAGCCCCTTAGCTCTGTTTTTGATGTGGCTACATCTCTTTTCAAGTTCCTAGTCCTTTCTCTTCCCAGCACTAACACCGCAAATTGATTTGCATCCCACTGTTGCATGACTTACAAAAGTGTTCTTGGTTCACATCTTCCAGTCCTTGAGGCCTGAAATTATTTTCTCCTCCTTCCAGACCAGTGGAGTGCTAGGTCTGCAGCTAAATCTTATTTTAATAAATGTAGATGGCCAAGGCTTCTATAAATACCACTGTTGGAAAAGACCAAACACAAGACTGGTTTTATTTATAGACTCACAGGAGTCCAGCTGTGTCTATATCTCTATGCCTTGAACCCTGAACTCAGTCATTTTACCTTTTTATTATGTGACGTGTGTTTGGAGGTAAAGACGGTGGTGACAGAGACAGACTGTTTCTAGGAAGATTTTACTTTACTGAGGGGCATCATTCTGTATTTTGATTCACTTTTAGGCTTAGAAACCACATGGGTTGACAGGAATCATATGAAATAATTAAATAGCAATTCCTTAGTATTTGCATATTGTAACAGAATGTTAAAATAGGACTCTGTGTTTAGTTTCAATTTTAGCAGAGGATTTGACTCAAAGCAAAACATGGCAGATAGCCCTTCGTTCGGAGTGCTAGAATACCTATTCAGGATTGCAGAGGAGATATTGAATGTCAGTGTTTTGACTCTTCTTAGCCAGTATCTACCTTGATGAAATAAACATCCTGATGTTGACAGTGAAGTCCTGTAGGCCAATGAGATGCATCATCTAAGCCAGATGTTCTGAATCTGAGTTTAAAAGACATGGTTCCACTGTATATTTCGATCCATGCATGGGCTTCAGAGAGTTTAACCATCTGTTTTCACTCCTATTTTTTCTTTATTGTGGTAAAATACACATAACATAAACCTACCATTTTAAGCATTTGTAAGTGTACAATTCAGCAGCATTAAATTCACTCACAATATTCTGTAACCATCACTAGTATCTATACCCAAACCTTGTTCATCATCCCCCAAGTAAACACTATAGCCATTTACTCTGTGTATGTGTGTGTGCACTGGTTCCATTTCTGCACAGAAGGTTTTATAGCTCTGCCCTAGAATGTCAGGAACTACTGCTTTACACATTTCTTGGTGTTGCTGTTGGCAATAAATGGAAAAGCAGATGAATGGCCACCAAGTCTAGCCTGCCCTAAAGTTCTTACATTCTGATAATGCTATTCCAGTGCCACTTTGAGCCTCCTTCCTCTGTCTAACCAGGAAGGGGTATGCTGAAGGAGCCCAGTTAGTAGCATTGAAAAGATAAACCCAGCTGGTTCTTTTAGAATCTTCTTTTATTTCGACTATTTCTAAAGTGCATAATCTTGTAGAATTTCTTCCTCTTTGCAAAGAACTTAATTTTAGGAAAATATATGATCAACTTGGGTTTCTTAAAGGATTGTTTGAAGGTCACATTTTTTTTTTTTTCCTTTTTCCTTCCAGAATTCATCAAAGAGGTCACCATAGCTCCCAGTTGTTTCTGCTCTGGTTTGCTGGTTGGTGAAGGGAGTTGGCCATAGCGGAGAGACTTTATAGATTATATTCATCTGTCCTCTGCCACTGTGCATCCGTGTAAGGACAGGAAATAATGGGGCAGAAAAATATCCCTGGCCTGGGAGCCAGAGGACCAGGAAGTCCCACATTCTAGTTCTGCAGCCTTCAGTGAATTGAATGTCTTATTAACTTTGGTAAAAAAATAGCCATCCCTTGATCCCATAACTATCTCACAAATGTAAGATGGAATTCTAGTTAATAATCATCAGACAGTATACAAACTTTTATTATTTTTTTTATTGAGGTGAAATTCATATAATATGCACAAATTTTGAATTTTAAAAATTATCCTAGATTCGCATCTCAGCTGTTCCTCTTCCTGGATAAGTTACTTCACCTCATCTAAAGCTCAGTTTTCTCCCGTATAAAATGGAGATAACAAGGGTTCCTATCTCACAAATAGAAAATTTTTCTTTAGGTTTGCTGTAAGGAAGACATTTGATAGCAATGTCTGGCTTAGAGTAAACATTCAGTAAGTGGAAGCTATAATTACCATTAATAATAATAAAATGCCAAATAAATTATTGCCTGAAGTACTCCTGTCCTCCAAAAATGGTGTCAGATTCTTAAGGCACTGGATATGGCTCTTCAGTCTGATTCTCCATAGCCCCTTTTGCTCCTATGCTCAGCATATGGGATGCTTCTGTCTTCTCCTCTTGTGCCTGGGGAGACAGAAAGATGAAAATCAAATGGCATCCAGCCCTGGTGCTGTTCTGGCCTCCTTTCCCACTGGGTGGTGTCATGGCAGCCTGTAATCCATATGGCGTTTTCTGATGCTCTACAGCTCCAGGAGGGGTTCAGAGAGACTGGAGGCAGCATCGTGAAGTGTCACCTGCCCAAGGATTGTGCTTATTGCATGAAGCTGTGAACCTCACAGAGCTACAAAAATCACTTGCAGGGATTGAATTCATTTAAAAAAATTTTTTGATTTTGTTTATACCTTAAATGTTTTTCCCCTTTAGACAGAGCACATGCTTTTAAAAAATTCTAATTGTATGTTTGCTTAATGGAGTATAATTGTATATCAAGTAAATATGTAAGTATGCAGTACTTAAATTAATACTATTTACTTGATTGGTTTAATGATTCTGAACAATTAGCCTATTGTGCTGAGAACAGTTTAGCCAGCTTTTAGCTGAGACTCATAGATATTGACGTTTAGTGTTTGTAGGAGTGACATACAGTTTCTAAAAGGTTTAAAAATACTGCCTGAGAAAACAAATTTCCTACACTTTTACACGGTCGCAATGTAAAAAAACAACAAAATCGGTTCCTTCCTCAAGATACTTTACATGTAGACAAAGACAAATCTTATAAGAAGAGATTGCCGGGCTTCCCTGGTGGCACAGTGGTTGGGGGTCCGCCTGTGGATGCGGGGGACGTGGGTTCGTGCCCCGGTCCGGGAGGATCCCACGTGCCGCGGAGCGCCTGGGCCCGTGAGCCATGGCCGCTGAGCCTGCGCGTCCGGAGCCTGTGCTCCGCAACGGGAGAGGCCACGACAGTGAGAGGCCCGCGTACCACAAAAAAAAAAAAATAGAGATTGCCAAATAGGGTTCATTCTTCGTTCTTTCACTCATTGATTCACTCAGCAAATACCTCCTGAGTGCCTGCCATTGGACTAGCACGTGGACTCTGGACTTGGGTTACAAAAATGAAAAATGGTCTCTCTTCTCATGGAGCTTAGTGTCTAGAGGGGGAGACAGACATAAACAGTTAATTTGAATACAATAAGCTGGCACTTACTGTGTTTACATTGTGCTCCTTAATTCTTACCCCCATTTTTATTTTACACACAAGAGAATTGAGGCTTGGAGAGGTTAGCAACTTGTCTAAGGTGAATCAGGTAGTAAGTGGTAAAGCTAAGGTGAAAACCCAACTGTGGCTTCACCATTTTGCTCTACTGGTGAAAGCTATAACAGGTGAAAATGGACAAAGATGACTGAGATGACTAAGCACCTCTGCCTGTGGGTGTTAGAGAAACTGGGAGACAAGAGAACACTTGAACTTCGGCTTTGGAGTATGAATAGAAATTTACCAAGGGAAAGAAAAACATCACAGGCAGGAAGCAGCTTGTATAAAAGTATATTTTGCAATTCCTCTGATGGCAAAATTTTTCTTCCCAATTATTCTGGTTTTAATCAATACATTATTTCCATTCCTTGAGAACTTGTCAATGGGGAATCCATCTGAGGATAAAGAATGGGCCAGAAATAGACCCAAATCATGTTGGGTGAAAGGGGCAAGCTGTTATGGAGTTTAAATCGACAGAGGCCCAATACTGGGTCACCCTGGATTGTTTGGTAGCTTTGTTAGGCATTTCCTCTACTTTGTTTAATAAACTATACCTGTCATTCTCAAAGGTCTAGGAAAATTAATAACCTGGAAGGTCCCCTGACACTACCCACAATCATTTTGTAGGAAAAAAGTTACAAATTAACCAAAAAGAATGGGTTTTTTGGCAGCCACAGAGAGAGAGAGAAACTCCGTGTGTTTGCTTTCAGGTGTCAGCTCTAGAGACCACAGATAATTTCCCACTTATATTTTGACTAGTTATTATCTAGTTACTAGAAAAGCATGAACCAAACAGATTATTCCTGCCTCTCTCTCCCCACTCTTAAATGTAAAGAATTTGGGACGTTTGGGTTTTCTTAGACCAGTGGTGTTAGTGTTGCAGACACTTTCTGGTGACACCATCTGTATAAAACCTGTTGTTTTCTCCAGAATTCCCTGTATCAGCCAGTGGCACCTGCCATCCTTTTATCCTTTTATCCAGCCATTCAGGCTGGAAACCTTGCAGTCATCCTCGATTCCTCCCCCTCCACATACCCCTCCACACTCATGCACTGCCACCCTGTGATCAGTCCCTGAGTCTTGTACAGGCATTCCACTTCCTCTCTATTTTTTGAATCCCTCAAGTCTTTGTGTGTCCCACTGCCACTCATCCAGCCTAAGCCACCATCATTTCTTACTTAGATTCCTAATATAGCCACCTGACTGTACTCTCTGACTTTTGTCTTGTGTCATCTATATCTGTTCTCCATACTGGGCCTTGAGAGGTCTTTGGAAAATGCGAGTCACTCTCCTTCTTAAATACTTCTCTCAGTTCTTAACAAGGCCTGGTATGATCTGACCCTTCAGTCTATGATTTTGCCATATAGGGTTTCATTCATTTTTTTCCAAACATAGCTAGCTCTATCTGACCTTAGGGCTTTGCACTGACAGTTACCTGATAAAATAATAATAATGATAGCCGGTATTAATTGATCACTTTGTGTATGTCAGATACTGAGCTAAGCCCTTGAAATACATTCTCATGTAGTAGCCACAACCCTATGAGGCAGGTAGGTAGGTATCATTCATGACATTTTATGGAGAAAGGCTTAGAGAGGTCATGAAGTTTGCCTGAGTTTTTCCTTGCTGTTAAATTAATAAGTACCTAATCGATTGAGGCTCATGCCTAGAATTTTGAGGCAAATGATAATCTCAACCAGTATACTGTTGTAGCAAAGTGACTTATACTCAGAAGACCTGGGTTGCAATGCTGGTACTGACCAGCAGTGTGACGTTAGACAAGACAACCTCTGAGAGTCAGTTTTCTTATCTGAAAAATAGAGATCATATTAGTACCTGTCTTATATGACTGTTGTACAGATCAGAGCCAAGCGGAATTCTAGGAACATAGCTGATATCCTATAATGTGTTAAAATGAACATGTGTGTTAGATGAATGAAAATGCTAGAGGTTGCCCCCATGGAGTTGTAGGTTCCCTCATTAAAAGAGGAAGAAATAAGACCCTTGAAAAAGCCTATCTTTAGCTTATTCAGCAGCACTTTTTCATGTTTTCACTTTTATCATCTTGGATAAAATTAGGGATAGTGCAGGATTTATAATGTAATCCTATAATTAAGCATCTAGTAGGCAGGTCAAAACATTTTATACTAAATAGAAATTAAATGCAGTGGAACATTGAACCTTTGAAATCCAAATATTGAAACCTTTAAAAATCCAAATATGTATGTTAAATCATCTAGTTTAATTTAAAATGTTTTGGATTGGCCAAAAAGTTCGTTCGGGTTTTTCTGTAAGCGCTTACAAAAACTCGAAGGAACTTTTTGGCCAACCCAATATTTCAAAATATGTTTACCGAAACAGAATTTTTATATTAAAAAAATTGCAGGATTAAACTCTTCTTTCTGTGTTTGGACCCTGTTCCCAACTCTTTCTGCTGTATTAAAAGAGAATGTAGTGTCACTTCCAGAAGTTGTTTGGTGTGCTACCTGCCCATGGAGAGGAAGTCGCTTGGCGAACTCATTTCCTTCCGCTGTGTTCCTTTAGGTCTCAGAATGCAGTTGGCCCATCAGGCAGGCCCCCAGTCTGCACAACCTCTTTGCTGTGTGTCGGAATATGTATAACTGGCTACTTCAGAATCCCAAAAACGTCTGTGTTGTCCATTGCTTGGTGAGTAACCTTTTCTTGTTGCTGTTCTGGCTATCATTCGTGCTGGTTTGGTTTGGTCAAATACAAATGGCCTTACACAGACTGGTGAACCAGGTAATGCTTAAGTTGAATAAGCATTTCTTAGGAACCCACTTAGGAATTAGGTGATGTGAGGGATATAAAATGAGGGGAAAACTTATTATTCTTGCCCTAAAGCTCGAATACCAGTGGGAGAGGCAGATATGTATACAACCCACATAATACAGGGCCTCTGGAATGTGCTAACTATTATAAAAGAGATAGAAACAAGAGCTGTGTGTGCATAGGCAAAAATGCCATTGAGTTTTGGGTGAATAGAATTGGCATAAGCACACTGGAATATTCTTTTCTTACCTTTATGTTTGAATAAAAATGAAATAAAAAGACATCTATGCCCTTATAAGTAGTCACATAGATTGACTGTATTTTATAGCAATTCCCAGTGGGACTGATGATTTTTCTGACCACTGACTTCCTAGAGTCCCTTTCCCCAACGCTTCCTCTGGAGGGCTCTTGCCTATTGTTTAAAACTCAACTTTAGGTAAAATCTTTTTTGACAATATGGACATTCGACCTATATATCTAAATGTCTTTGGATTTAAGCATTTAATATACTGCATCATCATAGTCTGGTGGCCTGCCTGTTTCCCCACTAGACTGTTAGCATCCTGTGGGCAAGAACTGTGCCTTTTTTACTTTGGAATCCCAGGTATGAAAGATTTTTTTTTTAACACTGTATTTTATTTTTACAAGAGATAAATAAACTGACACCAAGCATTGTAAATGGATGACCACAATAAAAGCAACAATGATTGCAATTACCAAACACGAAACACACTCACACTATGTCATAATATTGACATTCAATCCAGGAATCCTCCACTCTAACAGCTCCTTTACTTTGCAGTGAAAATTGATTTGTATATTTTTTGCCTCTGAGTCCTTGTGGGATTTTTGTTTTTTCTATTCAAACAGAAAGTCACAAGGTATGAAAGATTTGAATAAGCGATTGGATATATAAAGAAATGAACACACAAATGAAATCTGAACATAAATACTAGAACTATTCATTGCTTCTATAAACTTCAAGGTGTATTTTTTGCTATAATCTTAGTTGATGATTTTCTCCCTCTTTCTTGAGAGCTAGTTGGCTAAAAGAGAGATGAAAGCTGAGATTTTTTTCTGCTTTCCATCTCACATCCCCAAATTCTTGGTAATAAAAGAAGAACACTTGGTGTTTCATAGGAGTTTAATGTGAAAGGCCAAAGGGTTTTCCTTTCAGAGACAGAACAGATTGTATAAAGGACAGATTATTTTTAGAGACTAAGCAGCCTTTAGGTACTTTGGTGATTTTTTTCTTCACTCGAGAACTTTCTAAAAGTTCAGCGAGCCTAGGTCTGGCAGCTTTGTAAGAGAAGATGGCTCGAGAGAGACCAGAGGCTCCCAGTTCTAATGATACAATCATAACAAATAATAACCCAATGAAGAAGAAAAAAGAAGAGACATACAAAGCGTGAAGACCCTATAGCCTGCTCTCTAGGCTTACTGAAAAAGGACATGCATGAGTTGGAAGTCTGCACCAAGTCTTTGGAAGTGGAATTGCAGCTGGAGGTGGGAGCATTTATGTTTATCCTATATATACTGCTGTTTTATTAAAAATAAGCATATATTCATCTTTTAATTAAAAAAACTAAGAAAACTTTTTAAAAGACCTGCATGGCTGATAAAAGTAGAGAACACATATCTAAGAGCCATGAACCTGTTAAAAGAGTGTCAGGAAGACTAAATTCTAAAAAGAATTAAGATTGAGAAAAATGTCTTTTTAAAAAAAACTCCTTGGAATAAGGACAGCAACAAATGCTGGAGGCACACGGTATAACCTTAAATCCTTTATTCCGTTCCTTCATCGGGGGAACAGATGTCAAGCTAGAAAGGGAGTAACACTGATAATTAAGACAAAGCTGAGAGGTAGGGAGATAGTAAAAGAGCGTCACAGTACTTAAAAATAATCCACTCTCTAGACTTAAATTATGCGACAGAATGCTAAAAGCACTTGGAAAAGCAATTATGGGTTCCTTATGCAGTATGAGGAAACAGGAAGAAGAGTGCCAGTGAAGAAAGGAGAGGAGATTTTTTTTCCAAAAGTTGGAGGAGGTTGATCCTGGAAAGTTACAGGCTGGTGAGCCTGATGGCAATTCAAGGAGAAATTCGAACACAATTTGTGCGCAGATGATTTGAAACTCTTAGAAAAAAGGAGTCCACATCGATTCATTATGAACACACATATCAAACCAAGTGGACTTTCGGAACAAGATGAATAGGTTAGTAGGGATAGTTTATTGGAGTCCTGCGAGATATTTCCCCATTTCTTATATTCAAGATGGAGAAATTGGGGCTGAATTTTTAGACATTTAGACAACTATTGGCTGAATATTGCTTCCAAAGATAGGTGACTAATGGATCAGCATCCTCCCAGGAAAAGGTTGCATTTGGTTGCCCTTTTATTACAGCTTTGAAAATGTGGAGGCAACCTTCTCAGTTTTCTCAGATGGGTCATTTCCTAGAAACTACCAGTGTGAAATTAAACACAGGGTAAACGTAAAGTCCTGAATTCTGGTTCTAAAAGATTAAGTATGTTTGTCCGTTAACACATCATTTGAAAAAGAACTAACAGTTTTAGTGAATAGAAAGATCAATAAGAGCTCATGGTGTGATTTAGCATTTAAACTAGTTTAGCCTGGGGTTATGTTAATAAAAGCAGAGGGTTCTTACCACACTAAGGAAGATGATATTTCCTCTCTAGTTTGGTCAGAGCACATCTTATATCTTGCATTTCACATCTGGGCAGCACATTTAAGGCTGTTGTTTTAAAACTGGAGTCTGTTAAGAGGAAGTCCACTGAATGATGATGTCTCTTAAAATGGAACATCAAATGAGGAAGAATTGAAGGGATTGTGTAGTAGTCAGGGTTCTCCAGAGAAACAGAACTGGCAGGATATGTGTAGAGATACATATGTAAGAGGAGATTTATTATAGGAATTGGCTCAAGTGATTCTGGAGGCCTAGAAGTCCCACAATCTGCCTCCTGCAAGATGGAGAACCAGGAAAGCCAGCGGTAACATTTAGTCCATGTTTGAAGCCCTGAGAGCCAAGTGGGCCGCTGGTGTAGGTCTGAAAGCCAAGAGCTCCGATGTCCAAGAACAGGGAGAAGATGGGGGTCCCAGCTCAAGAAGACAAAGAGAATTCTCCCTTCCTTTGCCTTTTTGTTCTATTTGGACCCTCAACAGGTTGGATGATGCCAGCCCACTTTGGTGAGGGTGAATCTCCACTCAGTCTACTGATTCAAATGCTGATCTCTTCCAGAAACGCCCTCACAGACACACCCAGAAATAATGTTTTACCAGCTCTTTGGGCATCTCTTAGTCCAATCAAGTTGTGACATAAAATTATCACAGATTGGGTATGTTTTCAACCTGGAAAATAGAAAAGTTGATGGAGAGGGAGAGTATTTCAGGTATGTGAAGGGTTGTCCCAGGGAGAAAGGAGTAGGTTTACACTTTGTCCAGAGAGAAGGAAGAATGAGGATCGTTGAGTGGAATAGACTGCAACTCAGCATGTTCAAGTATAAGGAAGAACTTTGTGAAGTCCGTCCAGAAGCAGGATGCTCCTTGTCATTTAAAGTATTCTAGAAGAAGCTGCTCACCATCTGTCAGGAATGTCATCGCTTGCATTCCTTTACTGAGTGCGGTTGAATCAGGTGAAGCTTCTTTATTTTATATCCATCTAGGAACATAACTTTGGGTAAAATACACACATCACATATTCCAAAAAGCAGTATTTGCCTAACCTGAGAACTCTTTACCTTCACCCTAAACTGAGAGACCTCAACTATTCTGATCCTACAAGTCCAAAGTTACTTTGAAAACTAGATTATTTTTCAGTAAATATGTACAAATCTAATTTATATTGCTGGGTTTCTTAGGTTAGCAGAGAGTCAGTTGTATCCTAAGAATCCGTCTTCCCTTGATGCTTTGTGATTTAAATAGCTGGGATAGATTTGGGTTTTCAGGGGAACAGTTTTGAACTGACAGGCACCTGTAGTTAAGATTTCTGTCCTCCACACCCCACGCCCAGACTCCCCACCCTTCACCTCTTTCTTTTAATTGCAAGTACAGCCACTCTCAGTGTTGAGTGCCTGACCGCTCCATGTTTATGACAAGTTTATACGTTTTCTTTGATAGGATGGACGGGCAGCATCATCAATTCTGGTTGGTGCTATGTTCATTTTCTGTAATCTCTACTCTACTCCTGGCCCAGCTGTTCGATTACTCTACGCAAAGCGACCAGGAATCGGACTTTCGCCATCCCACAGGAGGTAAAGTCAGCTAGATGCAGGGTTGGCGCAGACATGGTCTAATTTGTATCATGTCCCCAAAAAAGGGGAAGAACCTTTTTAGATAATCGATGTATTGTCTTCTCTCTTTGGGCACAGTTTCTTCCTTCTCTTATTTAAACTGCATCTCCTTACTTCCTCTTGGTTTAAAACGCGTCTGATGATAAATTCTGATATTTTTTCTAAAGCTAGCCCTTAACTGATAAATTTAATCTGCTAGATCAAATATTGAGCTAGTGTAAAATGCCCGTAAGCTTTTTCATTTAATAAACACCCCTTTGTCAGCTCTTCGGGGGGAAGTACAGCAGTGTCACTAGATAAAAGCTTTCCTAAATTATGGCAGCATTCTCTTTTGCCACTTAATGTTTAAAGAATTAACACAGTAAATTTTTATTGTAGGTTAATAATTTATGAGAACAAACTTTCTAGCAAACTGACTGCTTATTGCTTCTGCTGTGGTCGCACCAACAGAATGTCTGTCTTGTGTTTTAGGTACCTGGGCTACATGTGTGACCTCCTAGCAGACAAACCCTACCGCCCTCACTTCAAGCCTCTCACTATTAAGTCGATCACTGTCAGTCCAGTTCCTTTTTTCAACAAACAGAGAAATGGATGTCGCCCTTACTGTGATGTACTGATTGGAGAAACCAAAATATATACAACTTGTGCAGATTTTGAACGAATGAAGTAAGTCATGATACTTTTCTTCATTTCTTCTTGTGAACTGTTCCATTCCTGTGTAAGTTGGATCCTATTCTTCCTTTGAGACTACATTATGAAATGCCTGATATTTTAAAAAATGTTCAATATATAGAAAAGCACAATTAAATCAAGGGATGCCATACCCCCCTTCAAATGGTGATACAAACTAAGGGACTAACATGAGCTATAATGAGGGTTCAGACAGTGGTGTAGGGCAGAAGACCTGGACGTTTAAGAAGGAGATGACCTTAATAAGAATTGGTGACGATAATGGAAGAATCAGGAATGAATGAGGTTTCTAGGTGAGCAACTAGGTAGATGGTCATATAATTAAAAAATTATAGAATCTGTAATAAAGAGCAAGTGCCAGTGGGGGGTGGTGGGAGATATGGAAGAAGGGACTAGATGATAACAGAAAATGAAATTAATTTGAAACAGATTGAATTTCAAAATTGGTATAGGAGATACTCACAGAGCATCTCACTGCTGTTTCTATATTGATCTCAGTTAGACTTCTTTGTTCTCTCTCTGTTTTTATCATAAATTTACAGTTAGGGCAAGGTAAATACATCAGGGCTACATGTATTTGGAGAAAACGTTTTCTGCTAATGGGCAATTGATTTATCTAGAAATCAGGATGGGTTGGAGAGAGAGGACCTGGCATAAGACCAGTGGCAGAACCAGTTTGCAGAACCAGTTTGCATCCAGTTGGCACTGGCTGTGCTCCTGACTTTGCTTAAGATAAGAAATGGTTCCTGGGTTCAGGCCTGGGCCAGCAGGTGCCTTGGCCAGAGCCACAGAAGACTGTGCCTGTATACCTGTGTTATTGTGCCAGATTAGACTCTCTTTCAGTGTATGCTTTTGTCTCTGTTTAAAGAGAGTACCGTGTCCAAGATGGAAAAATCTTCATTCCCTTGAGCATCACTGTGCAAGGAGATGTGGTTGTTTCCATGTATCACTTGAGGTCAACCATTGGAAGCCGGCTACAGGCTAAGGTATGGTTTCAGAAAGAATTATGATATAAGCTCAGCTGATCCTTTAATAGGAGTGTACATCACTTTGGGCTTGAGTGACTTCTGGTTTTAGAATCAGAAAAAAACATTTAAAGATTACCTTTGGAAACAACCTAAATGTCCATCGACAGATGAATGGATAAAGAAAATGTGGTAGAGGGACTTCCCTGGTGGCACAGTGGTTAAGACTCCCCCTGTCAATGCAGGGGACACGGGCTCGATCCCTGGTGTGGGAAGATCCCACATGCTGCGGAGCAACTAAGCCTGTGCACCACAACTACTGAGCCTGCACTTTAGGGCCCACGTGCCGCAACTACTGAGCCCGCGTGCCATAGCTACTGAAGCCTGCGCACCTAGAGCCCGTGCTCCGCAACAAGAGAAGCCACCGCAAATGAGAAGCCCACGCACCACAACAAAGAGTAGCCCCCACTCTTGCCACAACTAGAGAAAGCCCATGCACAGCAACGAAGACCCAATTCAGAGAGAAAAAAGAAAAAAATAAAATGTGGTGTATATATGTATATATAAATATATATATAAAAATTCGATTATATATATATATATATATATATATAATGGAATACTACTCAGCCATAAAAAAGAATGAAATAATGCCATTTGCAGCAACATGGATGAACTTAGAGATGATCATACTAAATGAAGTAAGCCAGGAAGAGAAAGACAAATACCATATGATATTACTTATATATGGAATCTAAAGTATGACACAAATGAACTTATCTAAGAGACAGAAATAGACTCACAGACATAGCAAACAGACTTGTGGTTGCCAAGGGGGAGGGAGGTGGGGGAGGGATGGATTGGGAGTTTGGGATTAGCAGAAGCAAACTATTCTATATAGAATGGATAAACAACAAAGTCCTACTGTATAGCATAGGGAACTATGTTCAGTATCCTGTGATAAACCATAATGGAAAAGAATATAAAAAAGAATGTATAAATATGTATAACTGAATCACTTTGCTGTGCAGCAGAAACTGACACAACATTGTAAAGCAACTAGACTTGAATAAAAAAAAGAAAACTGCAGGGCTTCCCTGGTGGCGCAGTGGTTGAGAGTCCGCCTGCTGATGCAGGGGACACGGGTTCGTGCCCCGGTCTGGGAAGATCCCACATGCCGCGGAGCGGCTGCGCCTGTGAACCATGGCCGCTGAGCCTACGCGTCCGGAGCCTGTGCTCTGCAGCGGGAGAGGCCACAGCAGTGAGAGGCCCGCGTACCGCAAAAAAAAAAAAAAAAAAAAAAAGAAAACTGCAAAAAAAAGGAAAAGATTACTTACGCCCGTTGCCTTCATTTTACAGGGGAAGAAACTAAGCCTCAGAGGTTTTGACTTGCCCAGATGGTTTTGCCAGAAGATGGAAGCCCAAGAACTAAAGAGCAAACCTTGCTCTTTAGAAACTTGTGCCTTTTCTATAGTGCCCTATTTGGATCAGGGTGAGAGGAGATATTTCTATTGAGGATGAGGGATTAAGTAATCATACTTTTTCAATTTTTAAATTGAGATAGAATTTCCATGACATAAAATTCACCCTGTTGAAGTGTGCAGTACAGTTATTTTTAGTATTTTCAAAGGGTTGTGCAGCACCGCTAATTCCCAAACATTTTCAACACCCGCAAAAGAAACTCTACACCTCTTAGCAGCCACTGTCCATTCCTTTCCTCTTCCTCCATTCCCTAGGCAACCAGGAATCTACTTTCTGTTTCTATGGATTTGCCTATTTTGGACATTTCATATAAATGGAATCATACAATGTACGGTCTTTTGTGACTGGCTTCTTTCACTTAGCCTAATGTTTTCAAGGTTCATCCATGTTGTAGCATATATCAGTACTTCTTTATATACCCAGATAATATTCCATTGTACGGTTATATAGCTTTTATTAATCTCTTCATCATTTGATGAACATTTACATTATTGCCACTGTTTGGATATCACAAATAACGCTACAGGTAATTGTATTTAAAAAAAATTTTATTGAAGTACAGTTGACTTAAAATGTTACATTAGTTTCAGGTGTACAACATAGTGATTCATTATTTTTATAGATTACACACCATACAGAGTTATTATAAAATATTGACTATATTCCCTGTACTATACATTACATCCTTGTGACTTATTTATTTATTTATTTTTTATTGGAGTATAATTGCTTTACAGTGTTGTGTTAGTTTCTGCTGTACAATGAAGTGAATCAGCTATATGTATACATATATCCCCTCCCTCTTGGACCTCCCTCCCACCCCCCACCATCCCACCCATCTAGGTCGTCACAGAGCACCGAGCTGATCTCCCTGTGGTATACAGCAGGTTCCCACTAGCTGTCTATTTTACACATGTAGTGTATTTGTTAAACCCAGTCTTCCAATTCATCTCACCCTCCTCTTCCCTCCCCCATGTCAACATGTCCGTTCTCTACATCTACGTCTCTATTCCTGCCCTATAAATAGGTTCAAAAACAGAAATATAGATCAGTGGTACAGGATAGAAAGCCCAGGGATAAACCCACGGACATATAGTCACCCAATTTATGACAAAGGAGGCCAGAATAGACAATGGAGAAAAGACAGCCTCTTCAATAAGTGGTGCTGGGAAAACTGGACAGCTACATGTAAAAGAATGAAATTAGAACACTCCCTAGCACCATACACAAAAATAAACTCAAAATGGAGTAAAGACCTAAATGTAAGACTGGACACTATAAAACTCTTAGAGGAAAATGTAGGAAAAACGCTCTTTGTCGTAAACCACAGCAAGATCTTTTTTGACCCACATCCTAGGGTAATGAAAATAAAACCAAAAATAAACAAATGGGACCTAATGAAATTTAAAAGCTTTTGCACAGCAAAGGAAACCATAAACAAGATGAGAAGACAACCCTCAGAGTGGGAGAAAATATTTGCAAATGAAGCAGTGCACAAAGGATAAATCTCCAAAATATACAAACAGCACATGGAGCTTAATATAAAAAACACAGACAACCCAATTAAAAATTGGGCGGATGACTTATTTTATAGCTGGCAATTTGTGCCTCTTAATCCCCTTCACCTGTTTCACCCTTCTCCCCGTGACAACCACTAGTTCGTTCCATGTGTCTGTGAGTCTGTTTCTGTTTTGTTATGTTCATTTGTTTTCAGAGTCCACATATAAGTAAAGCATACAGTATTTACCTCTGTCTGACTTAACTTCACTAGGTATAACACCCTCCAGGTCTATGCATTGTGTTGCAAGTAGCAAGATTTCGTTCTTTTTTATGGCTGGGTAATAACCATATATTACATCTTCTTTATCCATTCATCTGTCAGTGGGCCCTTAGGTTGCTTCCATATCTTGGCTGTTGTGAATAATGCTGCTATGAACTCAATGTTTTAAAAAAAAAACACACACAATTTAAAAATGGGCAGAAGACCTAAATAGGCCTTTTTTCCCAAAGAAGACATACAGATGGCCAACAGACACATGCAAAGATGCTCAACATCACTAATCATCAGGGAAATGCAAATCAAAACCACAGTGAGTTATCACCTCACACCCATCAGAATGGCTATTGTCAAAAAGACAAGAAATAACAAGTGTTATTATGGCAAAGGTGTGGAGAAAAGGGCACCCTAGTACACTGTTGGGGGGGGATGTAAATTGCTAAACCAATATGGAAAACAGTATGGAGTCCCCCCGCCCCCTCGCCCAAATTAAAAGTAGAACTACCACATGATCCTGCAATTTCACTCCTGGTTATCTATCTGAAGAAAATGAAAACACTAATTCGAAAAGGTATATGCACCCTAATGTTCATAGCAAGTAATTGTATTTTAATTCATTAAATATTTGCTAAGTACATACTCTGTGCCAGTCATTGCCTAGGGGTTTAGGATTGACAAGAGTAAAACTGTATCTCTGCCTTTAAGGAGCTCAGGGGAAACTCACACATGTACAAATATCCACTACCATTGTAGAGGTAGGATGAGATGTCATAATGGGAGCAGTTTGTTTTATCCAGTGGTGGTTCAGAAAGGCTACAGAGGATGTGACCTTTCAAGGTGGTCCTTGAAGGATGAGTTCATCAGGTTGGAGCAGGGGCATCCTGGACAGAAGGAATGGGATGAGTCAAAGTATTGCAAGGTGTAAGAACATAGGGCATTAGCAGATAAAGGAATGGCTTGCCAAGGCAGAGTTCGTGGAGAGGAGAGGCTAGAAATGAACCTGGGTCAGCTCCAAATGAGGAGGTTATTTAATATTCATAGAAAACAAAGACGCAGATATAGAAACAGTTGATGGTTTATGACTCCCCCAGACATAATCTTTTGATCTGATTCCCTTTTCAGTGGTTGATTGTAATGTGCTTCTCTTGTACTTTTAGGTGACCAACACTCAGATATTCCAGCTTCAGTTTCATACTGGATTCATTCCACTGGACACAACAGTTTTAAAGTTCACCAAGTGAGTGCTACTTGGGCCAAAATCCCTTATCAATCCAAGCAGCTGTGAAATGCTAGGAGTCAAGTGCTAAAGGCTCATTAGTGCCATGCTGCAGCTTCCCCCCAAATCCTGTGCTTCAGAGCTGTAGCGTGTGGCTTAGCAACATACAGAGGCTGGTTGCATTTTATAACTTTCAGTTGGGTGTGACTTGTCCTAAACACAAGTGGATCTGACTTCAAATTGAAAGGTCTGAAATACCATCTGAGGGAACGAGAGGGAACAAAGAGGGAACAAAGTTTCAATACTGTGATCCTTTGCATCTGTGTATCCCTTTGTGTTTTGCAACATGGAAGGCAGTGGAATCAGCAGCATGATATGAGCAATGACCAGTCAGAATGGATGCCAGGCCACAGCGCTGAAGCAGGGTCCTGGGGGACCCCCTGCACCAAAGATTATAGCACCCTTAGTTGCTATTATTAAAGTGTGGCCTAGAGAACTCAAGGGAGTGGCTGAAGGTGGGGTGATAGGTGGGAGTTGCTGGGGTCAGCTTAGGAGTAGACATTCAAGAGCTCAAGGTGGTAGCTCTGGGCTTATTTCACTATTTTAACAACTGATTTGGTCCTGCCAGTGCTTACTGTCTGGATATATCCGCCCTGCTATCTAGAATGCTTTCACATGCAGTAGTATTTAAATTCTATGGGCAGGCATTATTTTCCTCTTTTCTCTAGATAAGGAAACTGAGACTCAGAAAAGTAAAGTCTCTTATCTGGTTAATTGTTGATTTTTCCCTAGAAATGCGTCTCAGAGTGAAACTAAGAATCAATCTACAATGGTTTCTGTGCCGAACATCATACTGGTTCCATTGTTTTTCACTAATCTTATTCTTTTAAATCTCTATTTAGGCCCGAGTTGGATGCATGTGATGTACCAGAAAAATATCCTCAGCTATTTCAGGTGACTCTGGATGTAGAACTACAGCCCCATGACAAAGTGATAGACTTAACCCCCCCATGGGAACATTACTGCACAAAAGATGTCAACCCCAGCATCCTCTTCTCTTCTCACCAGGAGCATCAAGATACTCTGGTCTTAGGAGGTATGAGTCACCTGGTGGTTTTGTTTTCAGGACGAAGCCTCTGTGTGATTTCTCACATTGACTTATTTCCTGTGTTTCCTTGATGTCTTTTGTCTTATAGGACAGGCTCCAATAGACATCCCTCCAGACAACCCCAGACATTTTGGGCAAGGTGGCTTCTTTTCCACTCTCTGTTGGCAAGGTACTTCTAAGCATTTCTTCCAAGTTACATGGTTAGGTGGTTAAGTTATGTGGTTCTTGTATATATAAAGAGGATTCGTCCTCGAAGCAGCCTAAAGTAAAGCAGCATTTCGAAGTCATCCATCTAGGGTCTTCTTTGTTTCACATTCTTCCTGCTCATTCCTTTTCCAAATCAGGAGCTTCCCTACTTTGAACTCCATGGATGCTCTTAGATTGATGCAAAAGGCCATTTTAAGTTGAACTTTATCTTTTCTATCTATGCAGTGCTTTGGATCACATCTTTCCTGGATTTATGAATAATCATGATATTTTCTAGGTTCTCCCTTTACACTGCTGACACACAAAGAAATTAACAAAGGACTCTATCTCCTGCCCTTAAAAATATAAAATCTGGCATACTACTCCACCCACCCCGCCCAGGGCTCTAACCACTAGCAGGGCAGAGGTGAGCTTCCCCTGGGACAGGGAAGGCAAACACTTTGCCTACATATCTCTGCTACTTGCTTTAACAACCTTGGCAGAAATTGGGCTCGATCACAATATCCTTTTTTGCCAAACCTGGAGATGTGTTTAGAATCCTTCCCAATGTGACACTTCAGACTGCTACCGTTAGTAGACTAGCATTGGCATTCTGATCGATACCCATTCGCCATCCTTTTTAGAGTTTGCTGAGGTTAACTGCAAAGTTCAATGTAGAATTCCATGGTAAGGACTTTCTTAAGAAAAGGGTAGGAAACTGGCTTTGGTGATAGTGTACTTAAAATCCTCTTGATTGACCTTCCTTTGCCTCGTAAACATAAGACAGTATTCCCATTGCCTACACAGAGTTTTCCATGTTTGATAAAAAAATTGTTCATAGCATTCCTTTGAATCGAAGTCTTGCTTTCAGAATTTTCTACTGAGAAATGGGACCAATAACATTTAAAAAATTGGAAAACCCAGTGAAATCTAGATAGCAGGTAGATTTCCCAACCCCTTCTTAGTTTCACCTGTATCTTTCTTCCTCACATAAGGGCTTTTAAGAAAACTTTACTTTTACTCTCCACTGCTATTTTAGTAAGTAATTTAGAAATCATTCTTATCAGGCTATAAAATAGGTTAAGCACATGTGCACAATCTTTTATCTGAACCCAGCAGAGCCAGATGGGTTTAGGAATGCAGAATTCTTTGCAAGTTAGAAAGATGATACGGTACATAAACTGCATATTACTTAGAACCCCCAGTGGCATCTCAGACAATGTGTTATCAAACATGTTAAAATGTCTGTAGTGAAACATAACTCATAACCCTGAGTGAAATCAATGAAGACTATAAATAACTTTCATGTCAGTCCCAGTCAGATTTTTCCACCAGTTTAGGGAAACCTTTCCTTTTTCATAGCTTTTTGCATTTCAGAACTGGGGATGAGGGATGTGGATCTGTACTTGATTTGGAACGTGGATCCATCTGACAGTAGATAACAAAGTTCGAAAGAGGGATCTGTTTCAAGGAGGGCCTGGAAAGTCACTTACCAGCCTCTGCATTCCTTCCCCAGAAGAGGCCCCATTTTATGCAGAAAGTATCTCCTCCTGGGTTGGTGTAAGGACCATCCTAAGCAGAGCTGTTCCCTCTATTCACTTATTAGGTGTGGGCTTCACTTCTGCTCCAGACTGTGGGAAAAGACCTTGCTTTTGGCTGCAGGCCACATGGAGAAGAAGAAGTGAGAGGAGGCAGCAGGGGACTAGGATATAATGTTTTTTTTGAAGCACCGAGCACAGTGCTGGGAAAAAGAAGAAGATGATGATCATAGTAGTAATTATAATAAAAACCACTTAAGTACTACTTCCTATTGATCTGAGCACGTTCCATATATCATTTCATGTAATTTTCACAATAGTCAATGTGAGCTAGGTTCTATTTATTACTCCCATTTTGCTGAGGAGAAAACCAAGGCACAGAGAAGTAAAGTCACTTTCTCAGTGTCAGAGAGCCAGTAAGTAGCAGAGATGGGATTCAAACTCAGGCTGATTCTAGAGTTCTTGCTCTTCACTCCTATGCTATACTGCCTCTCAGATGCTCAACAAGTAGTCATTGAATGTAATGTGAAATACATCCAGGTTTTCCATTGGTAAGGGTCTGAAAGCATTGTGTGTTTTTCAGGCTTCTCTTTCTGAAGTTATGTACATAGACGCTAACAGAAAACAATAATGCTGTGGCTGGTAGCTAACTGTTTCCTGGCATAATGGCCTTCCTTAGATCAGAAATCGGAGAAATCATTCTGTGAGGAGGACCACGCTGCCCTAGTGAATCAGGAAAGTGAGCAGTCGGATGATGAACTTCTGACCCTTTCCAGCCCACATGGCAATGCCAATGGCGACAAACCTCATGGAGCCAGGAAGCCCAGCAAAAAGCAGCAGGAGCCGGCTGCCCCTCCACCCACTGAGGACGTGGACCTTCTGGGTCTAGAAGGGTCTGCAGTGAGTAAGAACTTCTCTTCACCGGCGGCTCCTCCCACCAATTCCGAACTTCTGAGTGACCTGTTTGGGGGTGGAGGTGCAGCCGGCCCTGCCCGCGCCGGACAGTCAGGGGTGGACGACGTGTTTCATCCGAGTGGACCTACATCTACCCAGTCAACACCGCGCCGGTCCACCGCCTCCACCTCTGCGTCTCCAACACTGAGAGTAGGAGAAGGTAATTTTTTTTCATGTTGCGCTGTACATCTCAGTGTTGAATTATAACTTTGGGGCCAAGCAGGTGGAATCGAACTTTCCTAATAATCTAGACTTCTCTGATCTCCCTAGTAGTCCCCAAAAGGTCTGTATCTTCATCTCAGTGGGGACCACAAGAAGAAATAGAAATATTGTCCATTTTGGTAGGACAGTCTAAGAATGAATATTTGAACTTGTCACCCTTACTTTAACTTTTTTTTCAGGGCTTTAGTCCCTGAGCTGCTTTAGTTATTTCTGCTCGGAGATGTAGATTGATGAATTGTTGTTAAAGTAACAGGTACTATTTGTGGGCTACTTACTATTTGCCAAACATGGAGTTGGACACTAACCATAAATTCAGTCTTTATAAAAACACAGTAAATAGGTGCTATTATCTCCATGTTATAGTTGAGGAAATAGAGGCTTAGGGTCAAATTAGTAGCATACTTTTATACAGCTAGTCCTAGGGTCCAAAACCAGGCCATTTGACTCCAGAGCTTTCCCTCAGTTTTCCTGTAATGCCTTCCTGGAATTGTAGTTTTCTGAATACACTTTGGCTGTGCAGAGAAGTACTTGCTTACTTGAAGATATACTTAAGGGACTGCTGCCAGCGGCACAGCTGGCAGAGCAGAGCAGTTGGTGCCAGATACAGAGTCTGAGCCCCATGAGGCTCAGTCAGCTTCACTCTGCTCATTGCCACAGACTCAACCCTTTCTGTGACTGGTCACCCACAATTCTTTAACATTGGCGAGACAGTGGAGTTGGGTAAGCAGAGGTCCATTATAGCTTCTAAAGAACTAGCTGCCCTTGTTATCATCCCCCATTAACCAAGATGACATCACATTAGGAAGAGTAAAGAGGAGTGTCTCCACTCTCCAGGCATGTGGTAACCTTTAGGAACTTGCTTTCCCAGGATCATCCTTCACTTCTCAGAAGGCTTTGGGCTGGTCTTGATTTATGGTGGTTCAACTGGAGCCATTCTTTACATGAGTGAGTTTCAGAATCATGGACTGTAGATGCTGAGGCTCACGTTCCTACATTAGTTATTGATGGAGCCACAGTGTGAAGCCAGGTGCCCTGAATCCCAGGCTATTTCCTCTACCCTTCAGCAGTTCTTACTCACCACAGTGAACAAAAGCTCTGTCAGGAAAAGAAGTCCCCAGGATCCAAGGTAGCATAGTACTCAATGGTCATGTTTTTAAGACCACGTACCTTATGTGACTTCCACTGATTTAATTCATCATAGTCCCAGGCAGGTAGTTATGTTCCAGAGTCAGATCTAGAGGGGACCTTTCAGACATTAGTTAAATCTGTGCCTCAGGTTATAGACAATGAAATTGAGGCCAGCTGTATTAATTGACTTGTCAAAGGATACACAGCTGGTTAGTGCCAATCCAGATCTGGAACTCAGGTATTCTGTCCTCCAAGAGGAAGTAGAAAGAACACTGAGTCCAGAGTTAAAGGCTTGGATTTGAATGTCAGGACTGACACTTACCTATTTGTGTAGGCTTATTTAAAAACCTTAATCTTCTTAGCTGTAAAATGGGGAAATACTTACCTATCAGCATTGTTGTAAAGACTAAATTTTAGCTCTTGTCTTGTGTCGGGAAGTTCACTTTTAGTTATTAGAGAATGTTGCTAATTTAACATAAGTTGATATTAAAAGTATACCAACTAATAGTGAAAAGATTTTAGCTTCCTCTACTAGTTGACTTCAAACTTAGGTGTAGAAGAATTAACCCAATGTCCTCTTCCAGTTATGCTATAAATCTCAGTATTCTCATTTTATAGAAGGGATAAAGTTTTGTAAGTATTAAATGAGGTAAGGGATATACATCATGTAACAGAGTGCCTGACATATCATTGATTCATTGCTGCTACACAAGGCTCGTCTGCTACCCAGCAGATCTTAGGAGAGCATTATGCCAATGACGTAATAGCTGAACACATATTAACTCATATATCCTACCTGGGTTTTGAGAGTGGAATTTATTCATTAACTTGTTTGATTCTAGTTGTGTATTCCTAGAATAGGTCACTCTCACTCCAGGAAGAGCCCATTAGCTTGATACTTACAAATTAGGAAGTGACATCTTACTACAGGGAGCTAAAGGGAATTTTGTCCCTTGACCAATAATGAGAAATTAAAGCCCAATTATATACATGCCACTCTGCGTGGTTTTCATCACATTCACTTCACACCTGTGAGGAATGTGAGATGCCTTTGGGAAATTCCTGGAATTTGGAATCAGAAAACTTGAACATGAGTCCAGCCTTATCATTTGCTTGACATTGGGCAAGAAACTTGGCTCTCTGAACCTCAGTTTTGTTGTCTGTGGAATGAAGATAATATCGCTTCTATCTGACAGGGAGATATTAAGGATCAGCTGAGGTATTCTTTATGAAAGACAACGGTAAACCCTGAAGAAATGATACAGTATCAATATTATTGCATTTTTGCTAGAAACCTCAGCTGCCACTTTGTTCTAGTATCCTTGGTTCATTCACAGACTTTTTCTCATTTCACTACATCTGCATCTAGTTTCTGGCAAGTTGTTGACAGGCAATGCTTCAGAAATATTTTAGCTTCACAGGACAAGGTATGATAAGGGTTCAGTTTTTGTCATGCTCAGTTTCTTCCCTTTTTAACTTTCAGTGAGCCAGAGACCGCTAAGAACACAAACAAAACTAAACAAAACCTGGTCAACGAGGTTTTCTATTGTTCACCTTAATAGCAGGGCCCCTCGCCTGGTTTTGGTCCACGAATTCACTGAATATGAGCACAGTGCATTCATTGGGCATCTCCTATGGTCCGGGCATTGTTTCACCACTCATCTATTAGTCTGTAAGCTTGGCTGACCTATTTATGTTATTAAGACGCCCGAAGGCCCAAGGGGGCCCTTGCTTATAGTGTTTATGGTTCATCCAACAGGTAAATCCAGAGTTCTCCTTTGTCCACAAAGAAGGGATTATTCATGTGTGGTCAGAAATCCTTGGGATCCATTGTTAACCCTGGAGGAAGTTATCAGGATAGGATGGGTCTGTAGAACAGCCTGTGAGGCAGGCATCATCCTGATTTTTCAAGTATTTGGCCTACAGCCTTGTAAGAGTGACAGCTCTTCAGTAGTTGTTGAATGGGTGAACTCATAGGACAAAGAAATACCTTTCTCCTCTTGTTTTCTAGGTGCCACCTTTGACCCATTTGGAGCACCTGCTAAACCATCAGGTCAGGATTTGCTGGGTTCTTTTCTGAATACAGCCAGTGCTTCCAGTGACCCCTTTCTTCAGCCTACAAGAAGCCCTTCACCTACAGTGCATGGTAAGGAAGTATTTTACATTGTGTTCAGTGGAGCATGGTTTTCCACAGATAGCAGGAGGTGCTCAGATATAAAAGCACCCTGTAGGTGGTTTTTTTCTGGTTTTTGTTTTTTTGGAAAGCTACATAATGCACCTCTGTTTTGAAAATTAACAGTTCACATTAACATATTAAAAGCTCTGAGATATTTTACAGTAAAGAAGTCTACTTAACTTTGTTTTACTCAGCTTTCCTAAAATTTAATTTGGAATTTTTTTTTTTTTTACATTAGAGCTACATGCACAGAATTATAGGACATCATTAATTGTAGCACATATCTTTGTTTTATGTACTATTAGGAAAGAAAAAAACACTACCACTTTTAGTTGATTGGAAGGTGCATACTAGTTGAAGTCTTTGAAATGTGAAAAAATGAGTCCTAGGTTAATAAAAGGTGATATGATGAGCATTTCACAAAATTAGTATTCCACAGAACAGTTTAGAATACAATATCCTGGTATATTAGACTAGCTCTAATATGAAACCACTAACCACACGTGGCTTTTGAGCACTGGAGATGTGGCCAGTCTGATTTAAGTGTAAAGTGCATACCAGATTTCAAAACTCAGTACAAAAAAAAGTAGAATATCTTATTAATATTTTTATATTTGTCACTTGATATAATTTTTTGAATATATTGGGTTAAATAAAATATTTTGTTAAAATTAATTTTACTAGCGTCTTTTTACCTTTCTTAATGTCACTACTAGAAAAGTTTTAAATTATACATGGCCCACATTATATTTCTGTGTTAGAGGCTTAGGTTGTGTAGAAAGAATCGTAATCACATCCATTTGTAAGAGCGAAAAGGTATCACTTAGGTAACACTGATTAAAACCAAAGCTCTTCAGTGAAGGACAGATGACTTTGAGCTGGAAAACTGAAGCTCATTCCTGATGTTGAAGGATATTGAACATCATTGGCCTCAACCTAGAGGACGATGTATTTGTTGTTGAAGGCACCCTGAGTCCCCTTGGAGAATGCGGTCCAGTCATCAGCTTGACTTCATGGAAGCCATGCAAATGCAAAAGGAAGATGAGTTGTGCAACACTGGTCAAACTGTAACGACTGAAAAGGAGAAAGCAGTCCAAGAACAACCTTTATGGGTGATTTCCTGTTGGTCTTAAATCTCAAACTATTTGAAGTGGGTCCACAGGACAACATACAAGAAATTCACCTCTGACCTTTGAGTAGTGCCCACTTAAAAGAATCTCCTGATTGGAAGTTGGCTACCCTGAGAGGCAAGACGCAGGCAGATAGATTAAAGCTGTTGTTTTTGTTCACTTATTTGAAGTGTAGGTTACGTCATTGCTCAAAATCTCCATGCCTCAATCAGCATGGAAGCCAAAGTCCTTGAAATGGCCTATGTAGGCCCTTTGTGCTCTAGCACCCAGGGCTGTGACCTCCTTTCCCATTCTCTCCCTCTTGCTCACTCCATTCCAGCCACACTGGCCTCTCTGTTGTTGCACTGGGTGTCCCCTCTTCCCAAGACATTGGCATAGCTAATTCCTTCACCTCTTTGGTCTTTACTCAGCTGTCAGCTTCTCGAAGGGGTTTACTCTGACTGCCCCATTTCACATTAAAACCCATCCTCCTGCTTCTCTGCATTTTCCTTTCCATTGTACTTGCCAACTTTAATATACTCAATAATTTACTTATGTGTTGTTTATTTTTGTTGTCTTTCTCTCCCCACTAGAACATGAGCTCACAAAGGCAGGGATTTTTGTTCGTTTTGTTTATGAATGTTTCTGTAGTGCCTAGAAGAGTTGGCACACGGTAGGTTTTATCTATCTGTCTTTCCATATAATATAGAAATATAAAATGAATTGTAACTTTTTCCTATCTAAGTCTCTTCGATGCATAATGATAATGTTAGTAAGGTTATATATTTTCCTGACTTTAATACTTTGAATTTACTGTTTTCATATGAGTACTACCTTTTATGTCCCATGGGTATGGGTGTTCATACTTTGGCATGGCAGTAGTGGACTCAATTCTGTCTTGTGAGCATGTTAGAAGATGTTTATAACTCAGTTTCAGACAGTTAGCACTCCTTCGTTTTGTGGCTACACTGCTTATTTTGATCTGTGCCATGCTAGTGAGTGAAAGAATTTTCCACTATCCTTGATGAGAAGGGAATTACTCCACTGTTAGTGGGTCAGTTGCATCCTCTTCATATACAGGTGAGACTCAGGTGTCATTTTGGGAGGTCAGATTGCCCACCTTGGATTTCTACAAGGCACCGTCAATCTCTTCTGAGAATCAAGAAATATTGCCTTTGAGTTTTACAAATATTTATTGAATATCTACTCTGAAGAGATTAATCATTTGGGGCACAATTTGAGAAGAAAAACTAAACAAGTAACCGTACTAAAAGGCAAAAGAGAAGTTTAAAATATTGGGTAATTACTGGTTCATTTGTTTATTCCTTTCTCTCCAGCAGATTTTAAGTTTCTTAAGGAGAGAGGTACTGTGTCCTTAAGCTCTCTGTTCTCTAGTGTGGTGCCTTATGTGTGGTAGGTGGTAAGGATTTGAGGGTTTGATTAGTAATAAGGTTGAAGTACTAATTCCTAGTTCTGCATCCTAGTTAAGATGTAAGACTAAGGTTAGAGTTTACAGGAAATCAAAGAGCAAATGTTAGTAAAATTGTCTAATTTCTACCTCAGTTTTCATGGATTACTATGGAAAAAGGGAAGGGGAGAACTAAAAGGGAAGAACTGTTATTTTTGATAATGGCATGTTCTATTTAACTCAATGATGGGAAGGTACACAGTGTCTTGGTTCGTACTAAGCAAACAAAATAGGTAAATGTAAGGCTTGGTAACGCTAATCTTGGTCCTTTGATGATCCTTTTGGTGGCGGTGGGGGAGTGTGTGTTGTATCTTAAATCCTACTTGCAAAGTTATTTTAGTATTTGTGTTGTACTCACTGATTTAATGAACAGAACCTAGAAGAGTCTTAGAAAGAAATTCTGTCTTATGGCATCCTATTTCTTATTTGAATTTTATAGATGTAGAAAAAAACTTACTCTACCAGTGTGTACTCCTCTAATATATCCCATTCTCTTTAGCTGAACATTTCTTTTAAATTCTACATTTGGAACTTCGAGAAGGGTCAGAATGATCTATTTTGAAGCTGCAGTGAGTTTTTTTTTGAGTGACAGTATATACATACCTGACACCAGCATGGTGGGTGGTATCTAGTCAGTCCCCAGTACATGTTCTGATTGACTCATCATTCTCCATTCATGTCACAGCGGAGGAGAAAACAAAATTTCAGTTCTAAGTTGCCCGTGCCTCTCGTACACTTGTTAATGCCAATTCAAGGCAAATTGAGTTTAAGTTTCATTTCACTATTTTTAATTGCCAGCCGACTTTGTGTTAGGTGTAGAGATGGGACACGCAAAGATGAATAAGATAATTTTCACAGTTACACAGTTCACAGAAACTCACAGTTTATTGGAGACAGACATATGCACCGTTATAATTCAAAGTGTAGTTATGAGGTAAAATAAAAGTGAGCCAAAGAAGGAACAGAGACAGTTTATGGCTTCTACCGGTGCTCATGTAAGTAACCATAGATGAAGGCACAAAATAACAGTGTTGCAGAATGTGGGGAGAGCTCAGAGGGGGAGTTGAATCACCTGGGACCTGGACAGGTCATGAGGCCTCATGAGAGGGAGAGCATTTTCCTGTGTGAATTCAGAAAAGTAGATTCTTTTTTTTTTTTTTTTTACATCTTTATTGGAGTATAATTGCTTTACAATGGTGTGTTAGTTTCTGCTCCATAACAAAGCGAATCAGCCATACATATACACATGTCCCCATATCTCTTCCCTCTTGCATCTCCCTCCCTCCCACCCTCCCTATCCCACCCCTCTAGGTGGTCACAAAGCACCGAGCTGATCTCCCTGTGCTATGCGGCTGCTTCCCACTAGCTATCTACCTTACGTTTGGTAGTGTATAACAGAAAAGTGGATTCTGAGCTATGTTGTCCTGATTCTTTTTCTTCTCCTCATTTGCAGCTTCTAGTACACCTGCTGTGAACATTCAGCCAGATGTTTCAGGAGGTTGGGACTGGCATACTAAACCAGGTAATGGTCAGCAGTTTAATTTTGTGCACATTTAACCGGTTGCCGAAGCATAATCCTTTACCCAAGATGAAGTGAGTACGTACAGAGTGTTAAGCCCACCTAAGAAAGTTCCTAAAGGCTCACAGTCTGGCGGAGCTTTTCACATTGCCCTTGATGGCATGGTTGTGCTGCATGTTATATGGTATTTAACTTGTCTAAGTCTCATTTGCTAAATGCCTTGACAATAAATTGAGTTAGACAAATCTGGGTTTATATCTAACTCAACCATTTAGAAGCTCTTGGATTTTTTACAAGTCTTAACTTCAGTTTTCTTATCTGTAAAATGAGGTTCCTAATTCTTGTTCCACACAGTTAAGTGAAATAACTTATGCGAGATTTTCTGGCATAGAGTAGGTGTTGCATAATCTGAATGGTTTTCTTTCTTCACAAAGGACTTGTTTTCGGGCTGGATTTGTCTATAATAAATAAATTCTCTTTCTGATGGCTAGTATTGTATTTCTTGAGAGCCATCTTGTGTGATTGTGTTCCTGATGCTGTGCAAGTTACACACACACACACACACACACACACACGCTATATGTTTATCACAGAACTGTCTAAAGCAGTTGCTGTTTCTTTATCTAACCAATGAGAAAATATTGAAGTTAAGCAACATGCCAAAGGTCACTCAGCTAGGAAGTGGCAGAACCGGAATTCAGGCCTGACTCCAAATCCCATAGGAAAGAATGAAGTCAGGTGACATGTGAGATAAATGCTAGACGTAGTAGTTTGCAGGGATGGCCAGGAAATGATGTATGCTTTCTCTGTTCCCTGTTTCTGCTCCAGGCTGCTACTCACTTACTAGTCAGGGAAATAAGTCTAGCAACTCCTAACACATTTGCAAACCCTGTCCTAATTTGCCTTTAGAGACAAGGTGAGCAGTAGCTCTGGATTTCTGAATTTCAGAATTCAGCCTTGGACAACTAACTCATTTTCAATGACCTTATTATTTTTTTCAGGAGGTTTTGGAATGGGAAGCAAGTCAGCTGCCACCAGCCCAACAGGCTCGTTGCATGGTACTCCCACCCATCAAAACAAACCCCGGACTCTGGATCCTTTTGCCGACCTTGGGACATTAGGTATAAATGTAGCAGGTTAAGATACAAATAACATTTACTTATGGCTACCAAGCCTCAAATCTAAATCTTTGGTGTTAAAATAAGCTGGTATTGTTACCTAGGATCTAAAATCATGCGTATTTTTAAGCTATACTCTAAAACCCGAGATTGACTTTTAAAAAAAGGAAACAGGCTTCAAATACTGGGTTGGAACTAACCCCTATTAATCCGTTTCTCTAATGACTCATTTTGAAGTAGTAGCATAAATAAAGTTAGAACTTCCAGGAGCACCTGACAATAGAGTTTGGCTGCAGCAAAAGTAATGAATGTGTAGAAAAACACTGAGACATGAGGCTGGTCAGATAGATTTGTGCCAAGTAGGGCCAGCTGTGCATAGGCCTTACTGTGAAGTTGCTAGTGAGATCCCCGTACTGTACCCCTCTTCTCTCCATTGGCGACAGTGCTCTCGGGTCAGTTTCTAAAATTCCATACAGAAAATAGACTCTCTTTATAGTATATCCACACTGTTTTTCATCATATGTTAATTATTGTTATAAAATAAGTGTTTCATTGAGGAAGTAATTTTGGAAACACTGGGTTCGGTGGATTTGGGTTACTGCAAAAACTTCTGAGAATCAGTGCTCATGGTGATGCTTCCCAATAGGGGAATACAGTATGCAGGGTTCTCAGACTCTTTCACCAAGGAGCCTTTCTTCAAGGAGCAGTTCATTGGACTTTTCTTCCTCCTTCCTTCTCCGGGCAGTACAGAGCTGTTACATAAAGGCGGGGCAGCCCTCACACGAAGGATTAAATGAGGCAGGTTGATAGTTCAGTCTCTCTGAAAGCCCTCCTGAGGCATTTAGAACCAAATTGTCTGCAGAGAATGAGAACGTGACTACCTTTTTATTTTTTGCCAGTAGTTATGTCAGAATCTTGACCTTTTCTTTTATACCCTTTAGACCTTTTTTCCTTTTAAGAACTCTCAAAATTATTTCTCTTTTTTATATCTTAAAATAAACTTCACATTTTAGAATAATAACATCATATATAACAGGCAAAGTTCTACTTCAAATAAAATCTTATCCACTGTTTATTTTTTACCCATTTATTCATCCCACAGCTGTTTACTCAGTGCCTTCTACGTGCTAACACTCCTTTAGTAAAAACCAACCAACCAAACTAACACAACCAGAACAAAATTCCTGCCTTCGTAAGGCTTGTATTCTAGAAGGGGAAACAAATACTAAATGAATAAATATATAATGTCAAGTAATAAAAACAATTAATGTTTATTTGGAGGTTTTACTAAGTGCCAGGCTCTATTTTAAGTGCTTTACACGTATCATTTCATTTAATCTTGCCAATAATCTTTTGAAGTAGGAACTGTTATAGTCCTCATTTTTAAATGAAGAAACATGGACACAAAAGTTTAAGTAACTTGCCCAAATCACAAGGTTTCAACACCATGAAGTCTAGGTCTGGAGTTTGCACTATAAGCCCCGTGCAGAGTGCTGTGAAAAAAATAAGGCAGAAAGTGATGGCAAGTAGGGCATGGGCTGGGGTGTTATTTTAGATGTCAAGTGGTTAGGGAAGGCCTCTCTGAAGAGGTGACCTTTATAGGGAGTTCTTTTAAAAACTCCAGCATCGTGTCTTGCATCTGGTTGTCATGTCCTTTTAGACACCTTTAACCTGGAATCATTCCTCAGCCTTTCGTGACATCGATACTTGAAGGGTACAGGCCAGTTGAAAACGTCTCGATTTGTTAACTTTGATCACTTGGTTAAGGTGATGTCTGCCAGGTTTCTTCACCATAAAGTTACCATTTTTCCCTATAGTAATTAATGAGTAATCTGGGGAGATAACTTGAGACTGTTCTATTTGAGAATATCCTGTTCTCCATCTGACTTTTACCCAGGAGGTTTTGGAATGGGAAGCATTCATTTTAGCATTTTAGCATTCATTAGTGATTCTTGCCTAAAGCAGGCATTACCATGATATCTGCAGAATTGTGATTGTATGATTCTGTCCTTCTTTCTATGTATATTAATTAGCATTTCACTCTAAGGCAGAATCTCCTCTCTCTCCATCCCCTGCCCCCTTCCTTTCTGACTCCCTCCCTCTCTCACATCATAACAGACTAGTGGATTCTTTTTGGACTCAGTTGGTTATCATCTATTATTGTCATTATTTAATGTTTACATTGTCCCACATTTAGTTTGTGAAAGTTTCTTTGTTCTGGCTTCTATATCTTTTTCACCTGATTCCATCATTTTTGAGAACTTTCTTTCTTTATGGCACAAGATGTTCTAGGCTTATCTTGAACTTTTTACACCCCAGTCCTGGAATCAGGCATTTCCAAGAATCCTCATTCCTTTTTGTGGGGAGTGGTATTTAGAAACCAGAATCTGTTCTAAGTATGTCTTTTGGTACGGGGGTGGGTGTCATTGCTCTGCCTTTCAGGAGGTGGAGATAGGTGATGAGTGGATATAAATACATATATCAATATATAATTCCATCCACTACCACAGGGTTCTTCCTTACTTTCCCCTATTCCATATGTGTATCTTCCATTTCCTTGGATCTCAACATTAATAGACAACAAAAATAGTTTCAGAATAGCTGCGTCCATATCACTGCAACAGCATACCTACCAGGAGGAGTTCAAGAGTTCTTTGTTGTTTTTAAAATGCAGTAATTCTTAAAAACTGCTGGGGAAACTAGTTTCCTAAATTTCCCCATTTTTCAACTCACATAGCTTAGGAAAGGTAAGTGACTTTCCTGAAGCTATACAGTGAACAAGTATATGAACAAGCACTACACATTAGAATTTTTGACTCCTAGGTAATTGCTTTAGAGTAAAAATTAAACTTCCAAATTATATAGCTGCAATTTTTAAAAAAAAGGTAGTATCCTTCTCCTTTAGGTATTTTCACATTGAACAGTTCTGATACAAACACTGTAGTTCTTCCCATAGATATTCTGATTTAATTGGTTTGGCTGTGGCTTGGTTATAAACAGTTTTTAAAGCTCCCCAAGTGAGTCTAATGCACAACCAAGTTTGACGACCACTGCTTTTGCTTTTAATGAGGATTGCAGTGGCCTCTGGGTTTAGCTACTGCTTTGTATTTCTGTCAGCTCTCCGCTTCAGTGGCGTTGAAAATTAGAATTGCTAACCATGGGTAGAAAATATTCTGGAAGGGTAGACATCAGAAAGTCCTACAATGTTGATGAACAGCTTGAGATCAGAGTCAGGATCTGTCTGTTCACCACTGTATCTGCAGCCTGGCGTGGAGAAGATGCTCGATAGTGTTTTATAAATGAGCAAATAAATGACAGTGTGGTGGGAATATGGAAATATTTTTTAAGTTCTTCAGGTCTTTCTGTGTTATTGAATTTTTAAATAATAAACGTATATATATTCAGAAAGAAGATAGTAAGCATCCTTAAAATATAAAAGGAACTCCCAGTGCAGAATGCAAACCCAGCCTAAGGTTTATGTTGAGGCACTGTTGGCAGAAAGGCCCAGGGGCTCACAAAGAGGGGCTTCATGTTCTGAGTTAGACACTGACAGCAATGCCTACCTGCAGAATATAACCCTGTCATTACTTTTTCCTATTACCAAGTATTTATTGAGCCCTTACGGTGTCCTCGTGCATGCTGGGCACATGAAATTGCATTATTTTAAAATAACGTCTCTTATTCGCTTAACTCGGGGATTGTGAAGAACTTTCACGTAGCCATTGTGCCTTCATGATATACCTGTGACTTAGACATAGTTCTGATTTCACAGGTGACAAAATTGAGGTCAAGGAGATGAGTTTTTCACTGAACTGCAGAAGAGCAAGGATTCTCTGTAGATGTTTTTCAGCTATATTCCCAGTGCACAGTATCTGGTACTTAGTAATGCTCAACAGATACTGATGAATGACTCTATGAATGAATGAATGAATAAGTGCATGCAAGAATGAATGCATGAGTGAGCAACAGAGCAGAGACTCAAACTCAGAGTGACTCTGGGTCCGATGGTCATAACACAACATTCCTAGTAGGAAAGGAAAGAGGAGCCCAGATCAGAGCAGAGGAACAGTATCTATATAAAGAAGACACTGTAAGTAAGGGATGAGTTGTAGTGAAAGACTCAGAGATTTAGGGAGGGATTAGGGATTATGGCTGCAGGAAATGAGCATAACATGTGGAGATAGGAAGCCCATAGTCAAGTCCCAGCTCCATTAACTAGCTGTGTGATCATGAGCATATCAGTATACCTCCCTGAGCCTTGCTTTCCTCATCTTTAAAGTGGGGCCAGACTGTGGAAAACAGTATGGACATTTCTCAAAAAACTGAAAATGGAACTACTATATGACCCAGCAATTCCACTCCTGGGTATATATCTGAAAAAAACAAAAACACTAATTTGAAAAGATACATGCACCCCAATGTTCATAGCAGCATTATTTACAATTGCCAAGATATGGAAGCAACCAAGGGTCCATCAATAGATGAATGGATAGAGAAGATTTGACATATATATATATCATGGAATACTACTCACCCATAAAAAAGAACAAAATTTTGCCATTTGTAGCAACATGGATGGACTCGGAGGGCATTATGCTAAGCGAAATAAGTCAGACAGAAAGACAAATACTGTATGATATCACTTATACGTGGAACCTAAAAAATACAACGAACTAGTGAATATGACAGAAAAGAAACAGATTCACAGATATAGAGAATAAACTAGGCATTGCCAGTGTTGGGGAGTAGGGGAAGGGCAATATAGGGGTGGGGAAGAGGGAGGTACAAACTACTGGGTGTAAGACAGGCTCAAGGATGTATTGTACAACACAGGGAATAGAGCCAATATTTTGTAATAACTAAATGGAAAGTAACCTTTAAAAATTGTATAAAAATTTTAAAAATTGGGCTTCCCTGGTGGCACAGTGGTTGAGAGTCCACCTGCTGATGCAGGCGACGCGGGTTCGTGTCCCGGTCCGGGAAGATCCCACATGCCGCAGAGCGGCTGGGCCCGTGAACCATGGCCGCTGAGCCTGCGCATCCGGAGCCTGTGCTCCGCAACGGGAGAGGCCACAACAGTGAGAGGCCCGCGTACCACAAAAAAAATAAAAAATAAATAAATAAATAATTTTTAAATGGTAATTTTGACAAAGAAAGAAAAATAAATAAATAAAGTGGGGCTAGTAATACTACCTACTTCTGAAGGGTGTTGTGTAGATTGAAGGCAGTAATATTTAGAAACATGTTTTATAATTTCTGAAGAGCTATACAAATGTTACTTTATTATCACTGTTGTTTTGGAATTGGTGCCTGAAAGGGTCCCTGTAGATCACCATATTTCAGCTTCTCATTTTACCTCTTTAAACATGAGCTACAACTGGTCTTCATATTTTAGAAAAAGCCCAGCATATATGCAGTGAGTACTTAAAAGTTAGGAGTTACAGAATCAGGATGCTACTTAAATTCCCAGCACAAAGTAATATTTCTTAAAGCTCGAATAAGATTCTTTGCCCTATTCAAGGCTGTAAGAGTGTTAGCTGTGTTTACTCTCCTGCACTGAAATGCAAGTAGTGTGAAATTGAAACCTATTTATGAAATTTCAAAATCTCTTGGTTTACTCATGGGCACTAACCATGCTTGTATTTATAACAGACAATGAATAATCCTGCTTATTGAAGTTTAAGTAGCACCTTCATGAGTGAATGTATTTTGTTTTATTCCCTGTTCTTGTCGTTTGATAGTTTTTACTCCAGTGAAGTAGAGTCTGCTGAGAGGGTGGGAAGGAGGGCTGGGATGGCGTAGTGGAAGAGCCAGCGCTCTTCTGGCTTGGAGTTAAAGACTTGGACTGAAGTCCCAGTTCTGCCACCTTCTGGCTGTGTGACTTTGAGAAAGTCACTTAACTACTCTGAGCTATAGTTTGTTCATCCAAAGAAAAAATGGGGCTATTAATACATACCTAAAAATGTCATTGTGGGGATTAAAGGAAATATATGACTGCAATTTATTTAACTATTAGGAAGGCTAATTGTGCCACCAGTCAAGGGAAGTTCCACTGAAGTCACTGTAAACAGTAACTTGAGACACAGGAATTAGAGGCTACTCAAAATAGCATTACCTTCTTTCTCACTCTCTCTCCTTTTTTTGTTGTTTTTTTAATTTGTTCTGTAGGTGGTTCTTCATTTGCCAGCAAACCCTCCACACCAACTGGATTGGGTGGAGGATTTCCACCTCTCAGCTCGCCACAGAAAGCATCTCCCCAGCCTATGGGTGGAGGGTGGCAGCAGGGAAGTGGCTACAGCTGGCAGCAGACACAGTCTAAGCCACAGTCCAGCATGCCCCACTCCTCTCCGCAGAACCGACCCAACTACAACGTGAGCTTCTCATCTGTGCCTGGGGGCCAGAACGAACGTGGGAAAGGAGCAGCTAACTTGGGTAAGGATGACGGTATGGAGACTGGCTATAGGGTACCTAAATGTATATATGTCTGAAGAAGGAGATAGAAAGCAATTCTGGTAGTTTCTGAGGCAGTCTTTGAATTGTAGAGACAGAGCACGATCCCTGCACCAGGGTGGTGCCTGGAGCTCCAGGTTTTACAGGCTCCTGACAGTATGGAGCTGGCAAGTGGGTTTCAATTCCAACACCAGCTTTGGTTGAAGGGCGTGGACTGCGTGTACTCCTGTGTTTTGGTTCTGTTTTGTTTTAACAGCAAACATTTAAATAGCCAGGCACTGTTCTAAGCACACATAATGATATGATATTATGTTTCAGAGTAAAAATCATAATAATTTTTAAAATATTATGTTGCAGAAGGGAAACAAAAAGCAGCTGACTTTGAAGACCTACTCTCTGGTCAAGGTTTTAATGCTCACAAAGACAAAAAGGGCCCTCGAACAATAGCTGAGATGAGAAAGGAGGAAATGGCTAAGGAGATGGATCCTGAGAAATTAAAGGTAAGTGAGCCTCTGACCCAGGGTGATTATTATGTGTGTGGAGATGTCAGTGTGGGACTAACCTATAGAAGGTGCCGTGTTAGGTTTTTAGCATCCACTTTATTTCATTTGGTTCCTATAGCTGTGATTTGAGTACAGCTGTGTCCTTTAATAGCAAAGTACTTTCGGGGAGTACTGTGTATGCTGTTTCGTTTCTTTAATAAAATGTACTTTATTCCATGGTATGGTAGTATAGATTTTCTTTGTTTACATTTTCAAATAAGCAATAGCACTCTTTAGGAGGTGATCTTATTGTTCAGATGGCATTCCGATCTGTAGGTAAGTCATTATGATTTGGAGGTAAGAAGAATGCATTATTTATGTTCTCTATTTCTGCTCTGAGAGCTTTATATTAGACCAGATCAACTGAAGCCCTCAGGATCTCTTCTTTGCTGACAGAGAGGGAAATACTGATGTACCTGGAATTACTCACTCCTGTAACGTTACATCTGGAGGTTTGGGAAGGTGGCAGGGAGGAAGGCTGAGGGAGGTGAGGTCCTTGGCTTCCCCACTGCTTCCCTCTACTTTTAACCAGAGCATTTCTGCTTTTATCTGTTTTTGATTCTTGGAAGTCTAGGTAAGATTCTATTTGGGGAAGGAGAATGTTTCCCTATTATTTTCTTTTAAAGTTTGCAAACCAGTGACGCCCTTATTTCATAGATGAGAAAACAGAGACATTACTTTATAGCTGAGGATGTTATCGTGGATGATGGTTAATTTGGGAACAAAAGGGTGGTTATATCGATGAATGGTGTGAGATAGTGAAAGAGTTTGTGAAGATCAAGACAAGTGGACTGCTCTTCACAAACAGAGAGGCTGAATTTCCACATGACGAAATATACTGACCCTGTAGCAGCCTGGAAGATGAGGGTGTAATCTGTTACTCCAAAATCAGGAGTGGTACAGCTAGTCAATGTCACACATTTTGAAAAAATATACTACTGTTCTTTGCCATAATTTCCCTACAGATATGAACGTTTGTTGAAGATGTACAGATACTATTTGGAGTACAATATAGGATCCTTTGTTTGTATTTGCTTTGCACTTCATACAGCGTCCAAAAGGTTTTATACTCCTTCCAAAAACCTTGTGCTCCATCTCAGGAACCTTTGTTCATTAGGTAAACTCTGACAGTTTTCTATAAAAGGAAGTCATTTATGTCTTTTAAACCATGCTTGGTTATTTAGTTGGTATGGGGTATTAAATCGTTTGGGAGAGTAGCCATCATTTACCTTGACTGAGCTTCTGTTATGTGCTAAATGCTGATGCATTGTTACAAACCCTTCAATTTAATCATCTCATTTGTTCGAACTATGAAGATTCAAACTATGAATGCTCATAGTTGGAATGAATGACTAAATGTATTCATTTAACAAACCTTTTTGAGCTCTATTCCATGCCAGGCATACTATTTGATTTCTGAGGTACAGTGATATGTAAAAAACACTACCTTTCCTCAAACAGGTCTGCCGAGTGGCAGGGAAAGACAAACACATGATTACAATAAAGTGTCACACATATTATGATAGAAGCATGTTTAAAAGTTAGCCCGGAGAAATTTGTTCTTTTTTCCAAGGGATTTTTTTTTTTAGTGTCTCTGTGTCACTCTACTAGATGGAGCAGATAGCAGGGACCCAGACAGACATGGTGTGGGCACTCATGGAGTTCATACTTTAGGAGTGAGTAATTAACTCACGGGGGGCCAGAGAAGAAGGAAGGTATTCAAACTCTCAAAGGCAGAGCAGTATGAAATTCCTGAGCAGGCTCTTGAAGGATGATGAAGAGTTAACCAGAAAGACGAGGTCGGGGGTGGAGGAAGAAAAGCAGATAGAGGGCAGGTTGGAGTATGCAGGTACTCGACGTTGCTGGAGCAGGAGGGGTTTCCAGAGTCACAGTGGAGACCCCCTGGACTCGAGAGCATTTGGATCTCTTAATTGCCCCTGTGTTTACAGATTCTGGAATGGATTGAAGGCAAAGAGAGAAATATCAGAGCCCTTCTGTCCACGATGCATACCATGCTGTGGGCTGGGGAGACTAAGTGGAAACCAGTTGGCATGGCAGACCTGGTCACACCAGAGCAGGTGAAGAAGGTGTACAGGAAGGCTGTGCTGGTGGTACATCCAGATAAAGTGAGTACAACTTGCTCACCCCCACCGCGTGTCTGGGCCTCCTGTCGTTCGTTTACAAGTATGCATCAAAGCAGCATACTTTCAGCTTGTTGCTTAGACCATTTATATAAAATAAATCCCATGGGCTCAAAAAAGGTATTTAAACAAATAGTTATGCTTTATGAGACAGAAGAAAAGGAATCAAATAATATATTACAAATAATGGAATGGGGGCCTTCCTTAGGTGTAAGGTTCACCACTGACTCATTTTCAGGGAACAGGTACAAACTGTGTCTTGACTTACGGGTGGGCTAAGACCTGGACAGGAAAATGTTCTCCTTTAGAGATACAGAAGGATATTTAGCCAGGATTATAAAGTGAAAAAGCTTTCGAACGTAGTTGGCAAACTTGGTGAGAATTAACAAAATACTCAAAATGGAACTAAACGTTTCACTATATTGATTATGCCAGTTTATGTTTTCATTGAAGTACGTACACATGTACGTGCTGCACATTGTCAGAAACTTCAGCTCCTGGATGGCACAGTTGAGATCACCATAATACACAGAAACCTCCCTGACAGAATTGGGTCCCTTGCTGTCTTGTGGACTGAGGATACCAGTCCTATGATGTGAGGCTGTGACTGAAGTCCTGCTTGGGAACACGTACTTGAATCTGATATATTTGATTTTCATCTCTCCACACTTTTTGTGACTAATCTGGATAGTATTAAAGAAATAATGTGTTTCAGTGAATCAAAGAGAAAGGGAAACAGCCCAGAAAAATTCACAAACTATATGCCTATGTTATGGGTCTCCAAGAACTTTTTTTAGAAATGGGAAAATGGGGACTTCCCTCGTGGCACAGTGGTTAAGAATCCGCCTGCCAATGCAGGGGACACGGGTTTGATCCCTGGTCCGGGAAGATCCCACATGCTGTGGAGCAACTAAGCCCCTGAGCCACAGCTACTGAGCCTGTGCTCTAGAGCCCGTGAGCCATAACTACTGAGCCCCTGTGTCACAACTACTGAAGCCCGTGCACCTAGAACCCATGCTCCACAACCATAACAAGAGAAGCTACCACAATGAGAAGCCTGAGCACTGCAAGGAAGAGTAGCCTCTGTTCACCGCAGCTAGAGAAAGCCCACGCACAGCAACAAAGACCCAACACAGCCAAAAATAAATAAATAAATAAATAAATTTTATTTTAAAAAAAAAGAAATGGGGAAATGTGTTTTTCAAAATATAGCTAATCATTTGGAGATAGGCAGTCATGAACCTTTGTCATTTGATAGATAATTCTGGAAATGAAGATACATTTTGTGCTGCCCAGTAACTTCTCTGTTACCTACTCAGTGACTGATCACTACTACCAAATGTGAATCCCTAGCAGGAGGGCTTTCTGGGGAGGTCATAGCAATTAAGGGCATGTAGATGGGGCTGTAAAAAGAGAAATGGCCTAATAGAAAAACATTTCAATTCCTTAGAGCCCACATATTAGCAGTGAAAAATTTAATAGAAATAAAACTTCGGTCTGTGGTATCTAATGTGTGTTTTTTTTTTTCTATAGGCTACTGGGCAACCTTATGAACAATATGCAAAGATGATTTTCATGGAGCTCAATGATGCCTGGTCTGAATTTGAAAATCAAGGCCAAAAGCCCTTGTATTAATGTATGAGCTTTTCCCTGCAGACCTGTGCTAATGCTAATGCTTAGTGTGTGTCACAGTTCTGAGGTTTTCACAGGTGAACCAAAAAACTCCAGCAACGTGTATCCAGTACTTAACTGTTAAGTTACTCGTAAATTAATTCCTCATTGATAAGGAATGTGGATGTTTGTTTTCTCAGATCCCCCCCATAAAAGGTCCAAAGCAGGAGAGGAACTTTTAGTCCCATGAGCTTGCAGAGTTTTACAGCATTCCAGCCTGCCCTTTGGGGAGCCTACTCAGCGTTTTGTGGGGGAATGGAAAATAGAGGCCACCAAAGGCATAGCATCCATCTCAATGTCTGAGGATAGGACGATGAACAAAAGTTCTAATAATAAGATTACATGGTGGACTTAAATGGTTTTCATATTTTCTTGGAAAGATATGGTTTGAGCAATGGCTTTACATAGACTCCAGGAACACAAGCACCAAGTATCTTTTTCAGTGGAAATTTACTATGGTCTCTAGCATAATACTGTATACTCCTTTTGGTCAAGAGGACTGACAGATGTAAAAGAACCTGAATTATGTGAGAAGTGATTATATTATAATCCAGTGATTACTACCAGCGCTTCCTGGATAAGCTAAAATTTCGTGAAAATGCTGGCTAAAGAAAAATAGGGACTCTGAGAGTGTAGAAATCTGTATTCCTGGTCAGAAAGTTGGGCTGCTACCTTCTTTTCCCTTTAGAAAACTGGATGCTTGAACAAAAAGTCTTAATACCATAACAACAACCTGATTGGAAAGAAACTTCTAATTTTGCCATTAGGCTTAATGCTTTTCCTTTTGCTTAGCAGAGAAAATGCTCTTTGCTGGGAGCAGGTTGTGAAGCAGTTTGGCGCATTCACAGTCGATCAGGAAGGATGTGTAGTATGGACCCCCTTGTCCTCCGGGTTTGTGAGTAGCTGTGGGAAGAGAATAGACGACAACACTAACCACTAGTAACCAGACAGGGGCAGTTGCAGAGAGAGAGCCAAGCTCCCTTCAGACTGAGTCCGATGGCTTGTCAGGACTGGCTTTTTGAGGAACCAGGTTCCTTTTCCCACCTGATGAAATTGGACCCCTTGGATTATTACAGTGGGGTTTATTGTTTGAAAAGTTGCTGGGGGTCCACAGGAACAACAGTCACACAGGGACATCTGTGAAAGTAAAGCAAGGCTGAAACCTTTGCAGACTTCAGACTGGTTGGATTTCAGTTCAGTGTTTTGGCTGTTTCTCATTTTAAGGGGCAAGCGGTTGTTGTTATCCTGTGACTTTAGTAGATCTCTTTGGGTGTGCACACACACAGTGTGCAGAGGATATATATGCAAAGCAGATGGCAAAAAAGATCTCCATTCTAGTCTTAAAAGGTTCGTGCTCAGTATGGTAGAAAGCTTTCAAAACTTGTTTTTAAAAGACAATCATTTTTTTGTTTCTATTTTCATTTTCTTGTGGCAGACTGTACCAGAAAAGCAGCATGTCAAAAATACTTTATGTTCTATATACAACTCTCTCGTTCTTTCTCTTCTCTCTTTCTCCTTTTCTTCCTTCCTTCCTCCCTCCCTCCCTTCCTTCCTTTCCTTTCTTTTTTTTTTTGTTATAAAGATTCATTATTTATTTTACCTTTTGCTGACAACGTGAAACTCGCCTAAAATGTTCTCTTTTTAAATATACAGCTGTAAACTGTTCAAAGTAACCATAAAAAACTAGGTGTTATTTATTAACATAAAATAATGTTTGATGCAGTATGTGCTTGTCTTATTTAAAACTGGAATGTGAGACATGTTGCTGTGACTCTTTTCTCATTCACATTTGTAGATATTGTGTGAACTACAGTATATAATGATAATAATTAAAAGGATATTATGTGAATGTCACATACATTTTGAAATGATAGAACTATATTAGCTTTGTATTATGTTTGGATAATTCATCAATGTTCACAGTTTAAAACATCATTAAACATTATGTAATTAGCAATGAGAAAGAATCTTACCTAACTTAAATTTGGGATGTTCCCTATCTCTTTTCTGGATACATTATAATTCTGGACCCCTATTCATCTCAAAACTCTTAACATATGCAGACCAACAGGTTTTCGCATTCCTTTTAAATACCTGGTTGTGACAGAGCTCGTTGTTGATCAGATTCACTGTTTCGTTCATATTTATTGTAATATATTTTTTGTTTTGTAAATATGTTACACCAACAAAATGTGATTGGTCTAAAATATTTGTAATGTATATTAAAAGGCTCAAAAATATTTGTAGAAATGTAAGTTATATTTGCATTCATGGGAATATGATGACAAGCTTGAATCATACCTTCTGATTCACTTTTAAGAAAAGTTATGGAGAAAGAATATGAAAAGCATATAATACATTTGCACCAAAACATGATCTGGCAGGGCTTCTTGGTTTATACTTTAACCACCCCCCATTGCCACCCTTGCCCCCATTACACAGACACACTTTTTTTTTTTTTTTTTTTACAGACACACTTGATCATGCTGCATGAATGCTATGTTTCAAAAAGAATCAGCATAGAAATCCTGGTGTTCTAGCTAGGATATTAATTCATTTGTGTGCTGAGGCAAAGGGATTGATCCTGGGAGTCTGAGACTTTGTCATAGAAAACAGATCGTTTAGGTGTTTAAGAAGAGAAGCAGCATGTTCATTTGGAAGCAGATGTTGCAAGTCAAAAGCATTTGAACTATCAGCGTTGTGTCTCTGTCTGGAAGAACGTTCAAGTTAGACCCTAATGATGCTGATGAAACACTTATTGTATAAGAAATGAACATGCAAGTTGAATTCCAGAACCAGCCATCGCAGCAACAGGACAGTTTCCCTGCTGGAAACATCTATTGGGGAATTTAGGTCAAGTAGACAGGTTTTGGTTGTTCTATACATAAACCATGGTGTTTCAGCATAATGGTACAATGTTGGTTTGAGACCAAAAGACTGGGTTTGAATCCTGGTTTTTCCACTTAAGGACTGCTATATTGGGCAAATTGCTTAAACTCGCTAAATCTTAATTTTATTGCTTGTAAAACAGAGACAATTCTAGCAACCCTGCAATGGAGGAATTAGGGATTGTGTATATAAACTGTCCCTAATCAAGTGGGTAGGTACTCACTAAATAGTAGCTACTGTTATTGTTACTGAGAGTCGATAAAACAAAGTATCACTGCAGGTCGGTACTGGGGCTGGAATTACACTGAAACCTCAGGTGGTAGGGAGTGGATAACATGCGTGGGAAAAGGCAGCCAGAAGTAAAATGTCCCTTAGCCCTTTTTTCTATCTCCCTGGGCTGACAGAGATCTGTTTGCATACAATGGCGGACTTACATTGTAGGTTCTGTAAAGGGAGTGGCTATGTGTAAAAAAGTGGTGGTGAAGATTGAGGAAGGAAAATTAACACTGATTACAATAGGGCTGCATCGAACTTGCGTTTAACTTAAGCACTGACTTGAGAGCCACCCCAGTGCAGATAGGATGCCACTGCCTCTATCTTGAATGCACTACCCTAGGTGCTGTTATATATATTCATTTTCTCATTTAATTTGCAAAAAGTTCTGAGAGGCATGTTTTGTAAATCCTAGCTCAGGAAATGGAAGCAGAGAGAGGTTTACCCAGAGCTGAGGTTGAGGTTAGCTCTTTTCTGTAGGATAGGGAAAGATGATACTATATACGGTGAACTTTATTAATATTTGTGAATTCAACCAATATTTTGTGTATACTGTATGGGAAGATCAAACTAATAAATGAATTTGATTGCCCTGTTAAACATTAAGCGATGTTATTTCTAATTACTATGGCAGTTCCTGCCTTCTTAGTGCATAAGATCTACTATGGAGAACAGTTCAAGTGCTGACTGTCTGACTTCATATTTAAACTGTTTAGGGCTTGATCTGAGCTTTAGTTTTTTCCATCTGTAAAGTGGAGATAATAAAACCTAGTTCATAGTGTGAGAGAACTGAATGCAAGGAGAGAATATAAAAATTTATCCAAGAAGTCCTGTGTAGTCCTGGACAGTGTGACAGAGGACATGGATATACTTCTAAGTAACACAACTGATGGCAAGTTGGGGATAGGGTTCAGCTTCTAAAGTCTTACTCTCTGGGTTTTTGTGTGTGTGTGTGTGTATGTGAAAGTTGCTTCCTTTATTTATTTTTTGAATTTTATTTATTTTTATACAGCAGGTTCTTTTTAGTTTTCTATTTTATACATATTAATGTATATATGTCAATCCCAATCTCCCAATTCATCCCACCCCCCCCACCCCACTTTCTCCCTTTGTGTCCAAACATTTGTTCTCTATATCTGTGTCTCTATTTCTGCCTTGCAAACCAGTTCATCTGTACCATTTTTCTAGATTCCACATATATGTGTTAATATATGATACTTGTTTTCCTCTTTCTGACTTCACTCTGTATGACAGTCTCTGGGTCCATCCACTTCTCTACAAATGACCCAATTTTGTTCCTTTTTATGGCTAAGTAATATTCCATTGTATATATGTACCATATCTTCTTTATCCATCAATCTGTCAATGGGCATTTAGGTTGCTTCCATGACCTGGCTATTGTAAATAGTGCTGTAATGAACACTGGGGTGCATGTGTCTTTTTGAATTATGTTTTTTTTAGGGTATATGTCCAGTAGTGGGATTGCTGGGTCATATTAGTTTTTTAAGGAACTTCCATACTGTTCTCCATAGTGGCTGTATCAATTTACATTCCCACCAACAGTGCAAGAGGGTTCCCTTTTCTCCACACCTTCTCCAGCATTTGTTGTTTGTAGATTTTCTGATGAAGCCCATTCTAACTGGTGTGAGGTGATACCTCATTGTAGTTTTGATTTGCATTTCTCTAATAATTAGTGATGTTGAGCAGCTTTTCATGTGCTTCATCGCCATCTGTATTTCTTCTTTGGAGAAATGTCTATTTAGGTCTTCTGCCCATTTTTGGATTGGGTTGTTTGTTTTTTTAATGTTGAGCTGCATGATCTGTTTATATATTTTGGAGATTAATCCTTTGTCTGTTGATTCATTTGCAAATGTTTTCTCCCATCCTGAGGGTTGTCTTTTCATCTTGTTTATGGTTTCCTTTGCTGTGCAAAAGCTTTTAAGTTTCATTAGGTCCCATTTGCTTTATTTATGTTTTTATTTCCATTACTCTAGGAGGTGGCTCAAAAAAGATCTTGCTGTGATTATGTCAAAGAGTTTTCTTCCTATGTTTTCCTCTAAGAGTTTTATAGTGTCCGGTCTTACATTTAGGTCTTTAATCCATTTTGATTTTATTTTTGTGTATGGTGTTAGGGAGTGTTCTAATTTCATTCTTTTACATGTAGCTGTCCAGTTTTCCCAGCACCACTTATTGAAGAGACTGTCTTTTCTCCATTGTATATCCTTGCCTCCTTTGTCATAGATTAGTTGACCATATGTGTGTGGGTTTATGTCTGGGCTCTCTGTCCTGTTCCATTGATCTGTATTTCTGTTTTTGTGCCAGTACCGTATTGTCTTGATTACTTTAGCTTTGTAGTATAGTCTGAAGTCAGGGAGCCTGATTCCCCCAGCTCCGTTTTTTTCCCTCAAGATTGCTTTGGCTATTCAGCATCTTATGTGTCTCCATACAGATTTTAAGATTTTTTGTTCTAGTTCTGTAAAAAATGCCATAGGTAATTTGATAGGGATTGCATTGAATCTGTAGACTGCTTTGGGTAGTTTAGTCATTTTCACAGTATTGATTCTTCCAATCCAAGAACGCTGTATATCTTTCCATCTGTTTGTGTCATCTTTGATTTCTTTCATCAGTGTCATAGTTTGCTGAGTAGAGGTCGTTTACCTCCTTAGGTAGGTTTATTCCTAGGTATTTTATTCTTTTAGTTGCAATGGTGAATGGATTGTTTCCTTAATTTCTCTTGCTGATCTTTTGTTGTTAGTGTATAGGAATGCAAGAGATTTTGTATCCTGCACCTTTAGCAAATTCACTGATTAGCTCTAGTAGTTTTCTGGTGGCATCTTTAGGATTCTCTATGTATAGTATCATGTCATCTGCAAACAGAGTTTTACTTCTTTTCCAATTTGTATTCCTTTTATTTCTTTTTCTTCTCTGATTGCCATGGCTAGGACTTCCCAAACTATATTGAATAACAGTGGCGAAAGTGGACATCCTTGTCTTGTTCCTGATCTTAGAGGAAATGCATGTGGCCTTTATTATGTTGAGGTAGGTTCCCTCTATGCCCACATTCTGGAGAGTTTTTATCACAAATGGGTGTTGAATTTTGTCAAAAGCTTTGTCTGCATCAATTGAGATGATCATATGGTTTTTATTCTTCAATTTGTTACTGTGGTGTATCATGTTGGTTGATTTGCATATATTGAAGAATCCTTGCATCCCTGGGATAAATCCCACTATATCATGGTGTATGATCCTTTTAATGTGTTGTTGGATTCTGTTTGCTAGTATTTTGTTGAGGATTTTTGCATCTATATTCATCAGTGATATTGGTCTGTAATTTTCTTTTTTTGTAGTATCTTTGTCTGGTTTTGGTATCAGGGTGATGGTGGCCTTGTAGATTGAGTTTGGGAGTGTTCCTTCCTCTGCAGTTTTTTGGAAGAGTTTGAGAAGGATCAGTGTTAGCTCTTCTCTAAATGTTTGATAGAATTCATCTGTAGAGTCATCTAGTCCTGCACTTTTGTTTGTTGGAAAATTTTTAATCACAGTTTCAATTTCATTACTTGGGATTGGTCTGTTCATATTTTCTGTTTCTTCCTGGTTCAGTCTTGGAAGGTTATACCTTTCTAAGAATTTGTCCATTTCTTCCAGGTTGTCCATTTTATTGGCATAGAGTTGCTTGTACTAGTCTCTTAGGATGCTTTGTATTTCTGTGGTGTCTGTTGTAACTTCTCCTTTTTCATTTCTAATTTTATTGATTTGAGTGTTCTCCCTCTTTCTTCATGAGTCTGGCTAATGGTTTATCAATTTTGTTTTATCTTCTCAAAGAACCAGCTTTAGTTTTATTGATCTTTGCTATTTTCTTTGTTTCTATTTTATTTATTTCTGCTCTGATCTTTATGATTTCTTTCCTTCTTCTAACTTTGGGTTTTGTTTGTTCTTTCTCTAGTTCCTTCAGGTGTAAGGTTAGATTGTTTATTTGAAATTTTTCTTGTTTCTTGAGTTAGGAATTTATTGCTATAAACTTCTCTCTTAGAGCTGCTTTTGCTGCATCCCATAGGTTTTGGATTGTTGTCATTTGTCTCTAGGTATTTTTTGATTTCCTCTTTGACTTCTTCACTGATCTCTTGGTTTTTTAATAACATATTGTTTAGCCTCCATGTGTTTGTGTTTTTTGTTTTTTTCCCTGTAATTGATTTCTAATCTGTATAATGTTGTGGTTGGAAAACATGCTTGATATGATTTCAATTTTCTTATATTTACCAAGGCTTGATTAGTGACCCAGGATGTGATCTATCCTGGAGAATGTTCTGTGTGCACTTGAGAAGAAAGTGTAATCTGCTGTTTTCGGATGGAATGTCCTATAAATATCAATTAAATCTGGTCTGTGGTGTCATTTAAAGCTTGTGTTTCCTTATTAATCTTCTTTCTGGATGATCTGGCCATTGGTGTAAGTGAGGTGTTAAAGTCCCCCACTATTACTGTGTTACTGTCGATTTTCTCTTTTATAGCTGTTAGCAGTAGCCTTATGTATTGAGGTGCTCCTATGTTGGGTGTATATATATTTATAATTGTTATATCTTCTTCTTGGATTGATCCCTTGATTATTATGTAGTGTCCTTTCTTGTCTCTTGTAACATTCCTTATTTTAAAGTCTATTTTATCTGAGTATTGCTACTCCAGCTTTCTTTTGATGTCCATATGTATGGAATATCTTTTTCCATCCCCTCACTTTCAGTCTGTGTGTGTCCCTAGGCCTTAAGTGGGTCTCTTGTAGACAGCATATATATGGGTCTTGTTTTTGTAACCATTCAGCGAGCCTGTCTTTTGCTTGGAGCATTTAATCCATTCACATTAAGATAATTATCAATATGTATGTTCTTATTACCGTTTTCTTAATTGGTTTGGGTTTGTTTTTGTAGGTCCTTTTCTTCTCTTGTGTTCCCACTGAGAAGTTCCTTTAGCATTTGTTGTAGAGCTGGTTTGGTGGTGCTGAATTCTTTTAGCTTTTGCTTGTCTGTAAAACTTTGGATTTCTCTGTCGAATCTGAATGAGATCCTTGCCGGGTAATCTTTGTTGTAGGTTCTTCCCTTTCATCACTTTAAATGTATCATGCCACTCCCTTCTGGCTTGTAGATTTGCTGCTGAGAAATCAGCTGTTAAGCTTATGGGAGTTCCCTTTTATATTATTTGTCATTTTTCCCTTGTTGCTTTTTTTTTAAATTAATTAATTTATTTTTGG